AAGTGGGTCCCGGCTACCTCACTCACCAGCTGTAACGCGAAAGTGGGATACTTCCGTGTAAATACTACCACTTCACCCCGGTCTTCTGTGAGGCCCTGGTATTTCCCCGGACGAGCCTGACAGACCCGTGACCATGAGCGCTGGAAAGTGTTCGAAACGTCGGGAATTTTAAAATCTAATTAAAAGCGATAAAATCCATAAATAGTTACATTCCAAAAATGAACATTAATTAAAATCTGTTGAGTAGTTTCTGATGTGAAACATCTATAGTGTTTGTTTATTTCAGTTATCTCCACAACATCTTGTCTTACGGCATTTTGTTGTGGGGTAGTGCATCTGATATAAATTCTATATTTATTCTTCAAAAAAGAGCTGTCCGAGCAATCTATAACATCGGAGCCTGGAATACACTCAGAGACCTTTTTAAAGAGAATAATATACTCACTGTTGCGTCTCAATATATTTACTGTAATATTTTGTATGTTATACATAATATTAATAATTATCTAAAGAATAGTGACAGACATAAACTAAATACTAGAAATAAGGATGAACTAACTACGCCATTGTTTCGTCTACAAAAAGTAAACAGGTCGTTCATGGGGCAAAGTGTGCGCATGTATAATAAAATCCCACAGTCGATATTAAGTCTGCCACTTGATGAATAAACGAAAGGTTAAAAGTAAACTTATGGCTAAAGCATATTCTACTATTGCTGAATATCTCGACGACGCCAATGTGTGGGGTTAATTCTGTTGATACTTAGGTTGATACGTAGGCTAAAACAAGACTATTATACCTGTAACATTATATTGTAAACACATTAATTTCCTTGTAAAATTTCGACGTTTCATAAGAACGCGCAAGCGTCTATGTGAATGAAGATATTTTATTATTATTATAGCCGCACGTAAAACCGATTTCTGGCGTGGCAACGCATGCGGTGGCGACGCGTCGCCACGCTTTTTGATGTACAGATATACAGTCTATATGCAGTAGTGTGTACGATTAATTACTCCAATTTAAATTAATTGTTATTTATTAATTATTAATTAATTAAATTAACTTTAATTAATTGTGTGCACTATTACCGAAGTCACTGATTAAACTAATTAAGTAGTCACGATTTGAAATTTTACAAAAATTTACGAATTTATTATTCGTAAATTTTTGTATTTAATGAAAATAAATGTTTATTCAATAAATAGTCATCGTTATCTGGAAAAAAAATCGTAATATTTTATTTTATCATTATGACATATTTAGTTCCTATTACAATCTGTTCTTTTCTGCATATTACTTTTACAAAATAATGTCGATGTTTCACATCTGCCAAGCGTCTCGTGACGGTTCATTTTTTTCCTTCATGCGCGCACAACGGCAGACTTCTATCATTTTATTTATGTAGATTTAACAATACATTGACATAAAAATTGATGACTCCGTGGCGCAGTTGCCAAGGTATTGGCTTCGGCGTCGGGGGTCGTGGGTTCAATGTTCAATGTTCACACAAATAATTGTCCCCTGTGGGAACAATTATTTGTGTGACCCACAGATAGTTGTTTCGCATCTGGGTGTTTGTCCGCGTGAAATATATGTTTGTAAAACGTCCTTACAACACAGGATAATGTTATCCTAAAGTAAGGGCAATGTTTTTAAAAAAAAAACAGAAAATAAAAAACAAAAAACCAAAAAATAGATACATCTTATCCTTTAAACTAGAGCTATATTATATATATATATATTTTAAGAAAATGTCATTTTATCCCTGTTTTCAGGGAATGAAAAATATCATTTGAATATAACGGTAAATTTCGCCGCAAAAAAAAAATGTTATAATAGCTTGGTCGGTAATCGGGCGGCCCCAAAACAGACGGCCGCGGTTCGTATCACGTTCATTTATACACTTATTTTTTTTACTTTTTTTTCTATACCAGATCATTTCTTTCTTTATTTTTTTTTTGTTTCCAAAATTCGTGATTTACAAAAAAAAACCGAGCAAAGCTCGGTCCTCCAGGTACTTACATTAAAGCAAATAGGTATCTGTACTTTATTAACTTATATTTTTAACGTATGTAACGTTAAAAATGGCACTTCTTAAGCGTAAAAAAATAAAAATAAATAAATATTTTATCCCCTGTGCCAGTACTCGTAAAGGATGTTTGTTGTTTATAACTTAACTTAATATAAATAACTTGGGAATAATAACTTGGGAGTAGAGAATAGAAAATAAAAAGTTGTTATTTGTTGTTATAAAAAGTTGTTATTTTTTGCCATGGTAATACTGTGAAGTTAATCGCTTTGATACAAACTTTATCATATCAGTGTCCGCGCGCGTCATAAACCTCTCATAATTTTCCAAACGCACCAAAAGAAGCTTAACTTGATAAAAAAAACCGGCCGAGTATGAGTCGGACTATATGTATAAAAAGGGATAAATTAAAAAATGTCTGTTGTATGGGAGACGGTTCATGAGATACAGCCTGGTGAAAGACGGACCGACAGACAGACAGACAGCGGAGTCTTAGTAATAGGGTCCCGTTTTACTCTTTCGGTACGGAACCCTAAAAATGAGAGCTAACAGTCGAAATGAATCCAACTAATCTAAGCACGGAAATTGATACGAGATTGCCAATATCCCATTGCTCCGGATACGAAGAGATTACAGTCGTCTGTAGATTTTCGACGATGTTAACAGTTATATGAATCATAAGCCTTTGTCGAAATAAGAGTTTTTACGATTGATTTTACGATGTTAATTATGTACTAACACGGCTCGTTTTAGTTTAGTGTACGGGCGCTCGCTTTTAATTTACTATTTAAGACGTGTCTGTGTGTCTCTGTGTCTGTGGCAGCGGTAACGTAGCTTCTAATAAACGAACAGACCGATTATGGAGCATTTTTGAAGTTATACTCCTTTTGGCGCGTTTGGAAAAAATTATGAATTTTTTTGATCGACGGTCAAAAAGCGGCAGGATTAAGTTGGTTGTAAAGCGACCAACTTCACGGTGTTACCATGGCAACCAATAACAACTTTTTCGTATTCACCTATGTGGTAAATTGTGCTAAATAAGGTTTATTTAATTCCACAATTTAATGTACTAAACTAGCCCCACATAGCTCGTTGAACACGTTTAGAGAACAAACAGAGAGTTTGTTGTAGTCTGCCAAGTGTTGCCATACTATACGACTAAACCGTCATAAATTACATTTAATGTCATTTTCACAAACAAAGAGTACTGGCACAGGGGATAAAGTTTTTAGTTACTTTTTTCTGCGTACAGCGATACAACTCGCCAAAAGAGAGAGGGATGCTGTTCCCTCCGTAGTACGGACCCACCCTCCCGTTGATAATCGAACGTCCACCCAATGAACATCCCCTCAGACGCATCGATTCACCCCAAACGCCACTGACGACCTAACGGGGGTGTGCGTCTCGTACTTGCGTCGCAATTAAGAAAATATTGCTTCCATTACCGGCTCAAATTTGGCCATGCCGCTGGTAAGCTTTGAAGTAAGTAGCTGTAAACCGTTTGTGGGATTTATGCTAATACCGCACGTTTTTAAACAGATACAAGTAATGAACACGTCGGGGATCTATCATATACTAGTGGACGCCGGCTGTTTGAAATTCAACCATAATTAATTTAAATTGTTAAAGAATATTAATCCATTCTCAAATTAAATACACAAAAAAGAAAATAATATATATGCGTGTGTGTAATGTTTATTTTATTGATTTAATGTATTTTTAATGTAAGCGATTAAAAAATGTTTATAACATAAAAATCAACATCACCACTTAAACAACACTACTGGTAACGATTGTGTTATTAACTATTTATTAGTTTTAACAAAATAATAATACCTACACGGTTTACTGCAAACGTTATGTGCACGACACATTCCTCTCATCTCCAAAATGGCGGAATAACAGCTTAAAAAGGCTAAAACAAAGCCACAAAGAGTTTACTCGGCATCCGAGCCCCTGGGGAGCTACGCAACCATTAGTTTGCACAAGGTTGAACGACTCGCACTTTTGCCTGTTTTGTTTTAATGGCGGGAAAAACTTTGAAATGCGCGCGAAAGCGTAAATCATCATAGTGGATTTTAATTATCTTCTTTTTCAATTATTTACTTCTTTTGGCGCCTTGAATATAAAAAATTAAAAAATGAAAGTAAAATTTTTACCAGCAGGCAAAAAGCGACATGATGAAGTTACAAGTTACAACTTCATCAACTTCACTCTATTACCATCGCAACCGATAATATCTTTTTGACGTCTACTGTTTAAAAGAGTATGTATGTATGAATATTCACCTAAAACTCGAGAACCGCTAGTTCAATTGATATGAAACTTAGCATATACATATATAAAGGGCGACATGACCACTCCGACAAAAATAGTTACTTCAGTGCTGGATAAGCAGGGCCAGATTTAGAGATCTGGAGGCCTCGGGACAACAAAGGAGTGGAGGCCCTTTGGCCCCTTAATTATTTTCCAAATAAAATGAACAATTTTTTCAGTCGAGTTTTCCAATAAATAATTTATTGTGAAACCAAGTATAAAAATGAAAGTAAAAAATATTTACAAGTGTTTACTATTTTTTTAATTTGAAATTTTAATTTTTTTTTCCGAAGTCTATTGTGTGGGCCCCTCTCTTGTGGAGGCCCTGGGGCTGTAGCCCCGGTTGCCCTCCCCTAAATCCGGCCTTGCGGATAAGTGGCGTTGGTTGGTTGTGATTTTTATCTTTTGAACCATAGGTCGAATCGATAGGAAAATTTGTTATTATATGTGGCAGCATTAGAATACCAACTATGGTTATATGAAATTATGGCAACTGCTAGATGAAATTAGTGAAGTTTAGTTAAATTAATTGAATTTTGAACCATAGTTCTAATTTATTTGAAACTCAATAAGCATAACATTTGCGTTTAGTTTTGTTTACATTGCGATCTTTGTTCGCAGGTAAACGTCGGCATGCCGTGGTTGGGGTGAGATGGATGGCATACAGATGGAGCCGATCGGCAAGTATAAGGCCGACAGGAACGGTTCGGCCAAAGGTCAGTCTCTGCCCCATTATTCCGATACAAAAATCTCTGTGGGAGAGCAAGGAATTAGCTCTTCAGAATGACAGCGAAGTATTTAGAATACCAGCAACAAGAAGTATTATGTCGTCTAGTGCGAGAACCATGGCAGCTCAGTGTCCAGGATGCTCGCTTTTAATTCAATACACTTGAGCGACCTGAGTTCAAATCGACTTCCAGCATCAATGACGTTTTTAATTACGAAAGTGTTGGCTTATCATGCGCTGAAGGAATTACATTTTTTGTTATTTATCCATTTTGGAAATATGTACCTCTAATAAAATCTTCGACGTGTTTGATCTCACTTCGACTTGACACGTTCGGCATAGACACAAACCATAGTCCACTATATATATTTTAATTTTCTTTTTTAACTTTTGACAATTCACAGGCTCTAGCTTGTAGACTAATAAAGTACAAAAGAATCTTCGATTTTTTTTATTGTCCGTTCTAAAACACGCAGGATTCTTCGAGTATTTTTATTATCCCTTATCGATAATCACGTGACAGATAGCTCTTAAAATAGCAACTCACAACAATGATAGTATATACAAATAATAGATAGATACAACACTAGCGCACCGAAACTGAGGCACTCAAATTACGCCAATTGTTGTATTTAGATAGAAAGCCTATAGACTGCTATCTCTTTCTGTATCTTACGTTCTATATCATCTGTCACATTCACTTAGATATTTCATTTAATGTAAAGCGGAACAATTTTTAAACGTCGCGCTGTATTGCCGTGCGTAATCTTTATTAAATTATTATTGAACTCACAATTTCATTGGCGCCGGCACTGGGGTCGGTCGATTCGATCAATAATTAATTAAATGTATCAACAAAACCATTCTTCATCATCATTACAGCCTGTTACAGTCCACTGCTGAGCTTAGGCCTCCCTCCCTCCCGAGTCACCTGTACACTTAGATGATAGCTTAGAAGATTAGCTGAATTAGCGATGGGGAAGAAAGGTTCTCGAGTGGCAGCCTTGTACTGGCCATCGCAGTGTAGGACGACACCCACTAAATGGAGTGACAACCTGTGCAAATGTGCGGGAAGCCGCTGATCCATTCTTGCTAACCTAAAAATTATCAATCTCCTCAACATCAAGTCGCGATATACCGGCTTGTTGATTTTCAGCGGCCGCCTGGCGAAACATGGTGGACCAAGATCTAGACGATGTGGCGTTCCTTGCTGGTGAGTAATTTTAAGATTACAACACATTCTCGTTCGGCTTACTTACTAAGGCTCCCGCTGTCTGTCTCTCTAGGAGTTTTAATATTCGCTTCCCGTTTTACCTTTTGGGTACGGAACCCTAAATATAGTCCGGGTATAACCCTAACTATACTAGGTCCGTATAAAATCCTCCGTCCTTCCTCATTTAGCCGCCCTAACGAGATGCTCGGCGCTCCTTTATTTCACACATGCCACCCCGCCTACCTTATGCCTTAATTGCTCTTTTAAAATACCCCCACAAGGAGTTAAGTGCGTCTTATACATTTTTACATGCTCATTTTAAATAGGACGTTCATCCTCTATCTTTGTCTACCCATCGCGATGGCCTAGAGCAGTATTCGCCATGTAGCAGAAATTCGACCATAATTATTTTAAATTGGATGGATACATATATATTTACGTAAGTAGTAATATAATGTTACGATTAGGGGGTTGACGTCTTAAATGTCAATGATCCGTCGATGACAGTTGGGAATGACGTATCAAATGTTCTTTTAAATTATTAAAAACATAATTATAATTTGAAAGAAGATTTGAATTCCAGAACTTTGAACTTTGAACACAGCTCGTAACAATGATATTATAGCTATATTCATTGGTGACAACCACAACTGAAGAATCGGTTCATTTGTTTATGATATACCAAGTTAAATTATAACAAATGAACAAACTTTAAGTAATGTTAGTCTAGACGCTGACGGGATTGGCACACACGGACCGCAGTCGTCTAGTGAAGTTTTATCTTGCGCCAGTGGGGAGTTCGATCCCCGCTTCGGAAAAATATGATGTAGACAGTATTTTATATCTTATCTGGGTGTTTATATCTTATCCTTTAAACGAGCAATTCTTGTATATATATATATATAAATAATCGGAATCGGAATCTCGGAAACGGCTCCAGCGATTTTCATGAAATTTAGTATGTGCGTAGATTCGGGGGCGAAAAATCGATCTAGCTAGGTTTCATTTTTAGAAAATGCCCTTTTATCCCTGTTTTCAGGGAATGAAAAATATAATTCGAATATCAGGGTATAAATTTCGCCGCAAGAGAAAATGTCATAATAGCTCGGTCGGTAATCGGGCGGCCCCAAAACAGTCGGCCGTGGTTCGCGTCACGATCATTTACACATTTATTTTTTTTACTTTTTTTTCGATTCCAGATCATTGCTTTCTTTATTTTTAATTTTTTGTCGATTTGTTATTTTGTTATTTTTTCCCTTTTTTTTTTTTTAAAGTTCTTTCTTTTGTGAAAAAACATCAGTTCATATTTTCTTATTATTACGTCGGTAAGATCAAAAAATATTATGCATATTTCATTACTCAGTAATTTGTATCTAAATGTAATTTCCAAAATATACGATTTACCGAAAAAAAAAACAAACCGAGCAAAGCTCGGTCCTCCGGGTACTATTATTTATCGAAGGTGATTTTTTACGCGTGTCGGTACGTATAACTTCATAATTCTTCAAAAAATTTTTGTTTCACACTAAAAGTTCAATAAAGTTAATGTTTTCATAAAAAATTATGATAATGCCATCTATTAACATTTTGCTTAAATGAAAGATAGCGAAGTAGACTGAAGAACATTGTTATTCAAAATAATTTACCTAACATTATAACTTACAATAATTTCTAAAAATTTAATATTAATGTAACCTTGTCTTGATTCATACATATTAAAACTGTGCGAAAATTTCGTACGGGTCAACTATTGATGATACCTGCTTATTCATGCAAATCCGACACTGTAGATATATGACGGAATTTAAAGACCAAGTTATAATTTAAATATCATTATGAATATATAATCATGGTTATCGTCATCATTGTCATCATTTCAGCCTGTTTTGGTCTACTGTTGAATTTAGGTCTCCTCCATAAACAGCCACGAAGCATGATCCTGAGCCACCTGTATCCATCGACTTCAATAGCTGTAACTAACGAATTTTTGACTCTAAAAGTTGTTGTTTTGAATGTTTTATAGCCTATAATATGTTGAGACGTTTAGTTTAGAATAGGCACCATTCTAGAAAAACTTTTGTGACAGACAAAAATTCCATCTACCTACTAATATTAGGCAGATATCTTTATCCTTTAAACGAGAAAAAAAAAAAAATATATATATATATATATATATATATATATATATATATATGTATATAACTTATATATATATAAATTTTAGTATGTGCGTAGATTCGTGGGCGAAAAATCAATCTAGCTAGGTTTCATTTTTAGAAAATGTCCTTTTATCCTTGTTTTCAAAACAACTTTGTAAAAAAGGGTTATTATATAATTTAAAAGAAAACGTTAATGATAGTAACCCAGGGTATGAGTTGATCGCTCCCAAGGTATTTCTTAAAAAAACAGTTATGACATATTTAAATTTTTTGAGAAAAAGCAAGTTACAAAATCCTCAGAGTTTCTTTGTTTGCCTGTTTCTTCTCCGTTAGAGAAACCTCATTACGGAACGGTGAGAGATTTAGAAAAATAAATAACTATCGATAGATGTTTTGTATGTTTTTTATGGCGATGAATAAATTATTTGGATTTTGAATTACATTCATGTGAGTCTGCCCATAAAGGTGATATAATATAAAAAGGTTAAATAAAACATTTACACAGAACTGTTTCAAATGATGTTCTATGCCCTATACATTTTGTTCTATCAATTATAAAATTCAGGTATTACTGTGATAGTAAAATATATGTTGCAGTTTAAATGAAAAATACTTCCATATTTTATAGAAAAATGAACGAAAAGATTTTCGCCGCTTTGAGGATTTACAGCAAACGACCGCTTTTATAAAAAAAATAAGCTTGATACATTATGAAACAATAGAACCTATTTGATTATTTTTTTACTACTTGAAAATAAATTATTCCGTATGTATATCCTAATAAACATCCGCAATAGCACGTATTGTAAGAATAGCTCAGAGTGACCATTTTCATGTTTCAAATTTTGATCAAAATCAATGAATTATGAATTTATAGAATACTAGCTACTACCCGCGATTACGTCTGCGTAGAAGAGGCTGAAGGAGTAACATACAGATAGAAAGATAAATACATAAAAAATGTAGTTATATAAAGTATAGCCTATGTCTTATTCTGACGTATAAACTATATAATTGTAAAGTTTCATTAGAATCCATTCAGTAGTATTTGCGTGAAAGAGTAACGGACATCCATCCATACATACAAACTTTCACGTTTATAATATTTGACAGTTCTTTTCCCGCTCTAGTATTCAGCGAGGAAATTCAGCTGGTACTCTTACCACCATGCCGTGTGGGCTAAGTTTGTTAGATAATGTATAACTTAGTTTTTTCTTTTAATTTTTTAAAAACACTGCCCTGACTTTAGGATAACATTATAATGTCTTGTAAGGACGTTTTAAAAACATATACTTCACGTGGACAAACATCCAGATGCGCAACAAGCATCTGTTGGTCACACAGATGCTTGTTGCGCATTCGATGCACATTCGATGCGCAGTCGATGTTCAGTGTGGGAATCGAACCCACGACCCCCGACGCCGAAGTCAATACCTCGGCAACTGCGCCACGGAGTCCTCTAAATTAGTTATTAATTAATATATTAAATATTTCCTGTTCAAATTTATTATGATTAATAATTAGCCGTTCTCACAGATACTTTGAGATTTATTTTGAATTAACAGAAACTACAACTTTATTATCACTGTAGATATTAATATGTAGATAAAGGAATTTTTATTAAATCGGCTACTCGCATATTCAAAGGTGATATGAAAATACACTATGCTACCACATACATACTATAACAGGCGACTGTAACTCTGCCAAGAATTTAAAATTTAAAAATGCGCTAAGCACACTCAAGTCAGCCAAGTTGTTGAGGAAAGTACAGTGGTTTAAGCATAACCTTGGCCTCTTAAAAACTACTTACGCAAGACGCCCCAACGGTGCATCTGACGTCACATTCACATAGCAAACTCTTTAATAGTACTCAGTCTTCTTTACACAGAACTGTTTCAAATGATGTAGAACATCATTTGAAACAGTTCTGTGTAAATGTTTTATTTAACCTTTTTATATTATATCACCTTTATGGGCAGACTCACATGAATGTAATTCAAAATCCAAATAATTTATTCATCGCCATAAGAAACATACAAAACATCTATCGATAGTTATTTATTTTTTTTAATCTCTCACCGTTTCGTAAGGAGGTTTCTCTAACGGAGAAGAAACAGGCAAACAAAGAAACTCTGAGGATTTTGTAACTTGCTTTTTCTCAAAAAATTTAAATATGTCATAACTGTTTTTTTAAGAAATACCTTGGGAGCGATCAACTCATACCCTGGGTTACTATCATTAACGTTTTCTTTTAAATTATATAATAACCCTTTTTTACAAAGTTGTTTAGAAAATTTCTTAAATGTGTTGATAGGCAGGCTTGGCGCATTTACTGGGTTTTGTTGAAGAAGCATATATAACCCATGAGCGAGTTACTTACGACCGGTTTCTGAAACTATAATCATCGTAGAAGTTAAATAATCAGCTGTCAAATGGCTTTTCAATGTCATTTGAGTTGCCAAAAGAATGGTTAAAGTCTTTGAATTGATCATTCTGATCATTAAGAAGATCATCTCAAGGATCTTCTACTATGATCAGTGTTTCAGAAACCGGGCGGTACTCTATGGAATCCAGAACACCGCCACTAAGCTGGCCTGTCTAGACTAGTTATAACTAGTTTCACCTGTGCAGACTCAGACAAGGCAAGGGAGGCGAGGGACCTGGGGGATGCGCCCGTGGCGGTCTGCTCCCAGAGGCGGGCGCTTTGCCTCACCGCTGTGGTGCTGACGGCGATGTTCTCTACAGCCTTGCTGGTGGTATACGCCAGCCCGCAGCCGGGTGAGTCGACACGTTTTATTTCTTTTCTTTTTTTCAAAAGCATTACCCTTACTTTAGGACAACATTATCCTGTTAAAAAAACATTAAAATTTGTAGAAAAATTAGCCGTTCAGCTCAGTAGCTAGAGCGTCAGGCCGCGAATGCCGAAGACTTGGGTTCGATTCCCACAGCGGCGACAATCTTTTCGTACTTTTTCTACAAATTTTAATGTTTAGTCTAAGTGCAAAGATTAGCACTATAAAAAATTTAAGTCATAAAAAAATATCATTTCATAAATGACGTTTTTGGTAACGAACAAAAATACGTACAACCCAATTGAGAATCTCCTCCTTTTTTGAAGTCGGTTGAAAATTAGATAAAAGGTGGAATACCTTTTATAATACCTCAGGTTAACTTACCTAAGAAATTCTACCTAACTTTACTACCTACCTTTTTACTTGCTTTTTCCGCTTAATAGACTGCCCGTGCACCGGAGAGAATCCCCTGATACCGGGTCAGCCGCCGACGGAACCGGAAACCAGCGTCGCCGCGGCCAATAAGTCAGTAACTGAGAAGTGGTAAAACTAGATTACTCCTTGGCACAGTTGCTTCTGGCACATAAGATTAATGGGGGTTATTGAGTCAGGGGATAAATATCCTTACTAATATTATAAAGACGAATGTTTGTATGATGGATGGATGGATGTTTGTTACTCTTTCACGCAAATACTACTGAATGGATTTCAATGAAACTTTACAATAAGCTTACCTCATATATCAGAATAGCACACAGGCTATAATTTATATACATATTTTTATGTATATCTGTCTTTCTGTCTGAATGTTACGCCTTCAGCCTATTCTACGCAGACGTAGTCGCGAGCGGCAGCTAGTATATCCATATAGTCCGGATAGGACAGTGACACTTATTTGGTTGAAGCAGTTACTAAGCGAAGAATAACACCCGACACAACGACTGAGACCACATAACTAGTGTGCGACAGAGATAACGCTCTACGAAACGGACACTAGCTGTCTCTTACCAAAGGTAATGTAAAGTATCAAATTATACATGTCACACTGCTGGGCAAAGGCCTCCTCTGTCTAGAGGGTATTAGGGCATAGTCCACTCCACTGCAGATGGGCAAGGCTTCACATATCTTGAAAATATTTTTTTTTGTTATTATTTCATCATCCATCGTTATAAATAGGCCGCTAAGTTCGTGCGTAATTTGTCTGTTTCTTTTAATATGAGAAGGTGGCAAAAAATCATGGTCCTGATGTTACGAGCAAGTGATTACTACCGCCGCCCATGGAAATCTACAACACCTGTGATATTCCAGTTGCGTGCCAACATTTACAAGAGCAACACTCACGAGACGAAACGCAAAAGCATACAGCTTCCTCATGCCGGTCTTACGCTAGGAGTTGGTAATTTCCCAGTTGATCCTGCCCATTCGTGTAACATTAGAAACTGCGTGGCCCTACCACAGGAACTCACTTAGCGAGTTTGCCTTCAGGGATCGAATTGCCACCACCGGTGCGGTGTTCCCCTGGAGAGGCGCTCGTCTCCCGACCTTCGTCCTGCCGAAGCACTACAGCCTCTGGCTGCATCCGAACCTGACCACGGGTGAACTAAGAGGTGAGACACATATCCCTTGTTTAAGACCGAGTAGTATCGGAAAATGTGTCAAATAACAATTTGTCTACATATTTAAAGTTTCACTTTAAGCCCAGTTACCATATGAATGAATATTCATAATTTCAGCCTGTTCGAGTCCACTACTGAACACAGGCCTCCACACAAACCGCCACGAAGCACGATCCTGAGCCACCTGCCAAATAACTATTAAACATGAATTTATCTATAAATTACTTCATCATCATCATCGTCGGCAGCAAGACGTCCACTGTTGAACATAGTTCTCCCCTTAGAAAACCACAAAGAACGACACTTTGCCATTTGCATCCACTGGTCCAACTCTTACGATGTCGTCGGTCCACCTAGAGGGAGGCCTTCCAATACTACGCCAAAATTACTTACCATCGAATATAACCTAACTCGATTAGAAAAGAGTGGAAAAGTTCTTTTCTCCTTTTTGTATTTCTATGAATTAGAGTATTCTGGCAGAGTCCACCACTGAACACAGGCCTCCCCCCAACAGAAGCCACGAAGCATGATCCTGGGCCACAACCATCGACTACTCGCACACTTACACAGGTCGGAGTGGGGATTCGTCTACACGATGGTGGCCAATACGATGCTGCGAATATTTTTATTAAATTTTTTATTGGAAAGAATGTACTTCAAGGGTAGTTTGATGAGATTTTGGCGAGGTTCTGATCATGGGCTCCATGGCAAAGTAACGGAACTCTCCAACTCTCTTTTAGGGGCGAAACTTTTATAGGCTATCGGAATATTTTCTCCTTTTAAGTCTCAATGTAATCAAGGACGGGGCCTAACAGCTAGTGGTCTCTCGCCAGGCGAGGTGTCGATAGACTTCAGGGTGGACCGCGACACCAGCTTCGTGGTGCTGAACGTGCGCGACATGAACGTGACCGAGCGGGCGCTGTTCAAGAGCGGCGGCTCCCTGGGGCCCAAGGTCGCCAGGAGCCTCGACTACCCAGCGGCCGACCAGACCTACATCGAGTTCAAGGTACGACAATTAGCCGATAGCTACGAGTTTACTATAGATTGGCGACCCGCCCCGGCTTCGCGCGGATGCAATGCTGAATGTTTGTTTACGACATCGCATTAGAAACCTCTAACATTATCAGTGTTTCTCTACTATATTATGCATGAATTCTCTACTATATATATACATTATAAACCTTTCTCATGGATCACTATTAAATCACTATTAAAGAAAACCGCATCAAAATCCGTTGCGTAGTTTTAAAGATCTAAGCATACCTATATAGAGAAAGACAGACAGCGGGACGACTTTGTTTTATACTATGTAATGGTCCTTTGTAAGTGGAAACATCTTTAGACGCATTGAACACTTTTTGGGTGGACAGAAATCATGGAACTCGTGTCATTATCAATGAACGGTTTTCGAACGGATCTAGTTTTATATAAATAATAGTTAAAAAAACACATTTTTGTAGATAACCGAACTAAATAGTATAGAAAATAATTTTAAATAAATTTAAAGTGCGATTAACAAAAAAAATATTTTAAATTATTTTATGTAGAAAAGCGCGGGGTGCTCGGAGTCAATTGTCTTAATATTTTAATGACTATATTTACAGTATAATGGCAAAAGTAGAGTCATAATGGAAATATCTTAAAAGGTACCACGCTTTTCAGCAATATTTTTTTCTTATTGCAGAATTTGATAGATGATATAGAACGTATGCTACGGAAAGAGATAGCAGTCTATAGAATTGCAATATACAATATAATTACACCAATTGGTTTAAATTGAGTGTCTCAGTTTCGGTGCATTAGTGTCATATCTACCTCATATTTGTACATACATTGTATATTGACACCATCATCCACGCTACTCAATGTCATAGAGATTTTGGCCACGTTGCGAATTTTAGAGAGAGAAGATCTCTCTTGTCTTCTTTGTTCCTTGGGTTTTCCTAATATCGTCTCCCGATGTTTTTGTCACCAGGATAAACTGCGTCGCAAATTCAACTACACGCTGAGCCTGCGTTTCATCACGAAGCTGGGGAAAGGGGATAAGCAGAGGGGGTTCTTCTTGACCGGAACGCATAGGAGGTGAGTGTTGTGGGTTCGGCGGATAAGGCAAGTAAGTACCCGGACCGAGATTAACCAAGATAAAATTAGATAAACCAAGATTCAACAGCAAGGCTTGCCCAAAAAGGCTTTAAAAATTTTTTAAAGCTTTTTTGGGCAAGCTTTGCTGTTGAATCTTGGTTTTCGAGCCTTTGTCCTAAAGGTCTACCAGCCACACCTTTGAGAGCACAGCTCTCTTATTGAAAAAAAAAAATAAACCGACTTCAAATATATCTTATTGTACATTTTCTGTTTGATTTTGAGGAGTTCTCTGATGTATCTCCAGAGTACACGGTGCAATACCAGTAAAATCAATATGGGACCACATTTTAAATATTTGAACTATGGTAGGTACTTAAGTAGTAGGGCCAAGCATCAACCATCGCTGTTGCACGAATGGGCCTCACAGGAGACCGATGTGAAGTGGATGTTTTATAATTCGGCTTTTCGTCTGGTCAGTGAGGTAGCCGGGGTCCACTTTATTAAAAGTTGGCAACATATGTGCAACCCTAAGGATGCTGCAAATGTTAATGGGCGACGGTTATCACTTAACATCAGGTGAACCGCCGACTCGTTTGCAACATTTTCACATAAAAAAAACAATGGGAGCGCCTACTTATGCACGCGCGTGAGAAGTTATACTTCTTTGGCATCATTAGAAAATAGTTTTCAATTGCATGATTATTAATTACAATAAAACAATAAAAAGACTGGAAAGGAAATAAATAATAAAATTAAAACTTATGAAAGTGCCATCTACATTATTTATTAAGTACTGTAACGGGCGAATGTGATTGAGAATATGCTGCCGTCTATAAAAATTAGCGGGCAGCTTCAAAGGTGTGACTTTTGTGTCTTCAAAGGTGCGCGAGCATCTTAAAATTTCACTGTCATCATTTTTTTGATAACGCGCCTAAAGAAGTATAACTTCAAAAACAGAGAGATAACGTGATACTCGTATATTGCTGTGGCTATCAGTAATTCTATCTCTTTGGTGATACTCGTATATTGCTATGGCTATCAGTAATTCTATCTCTTTGGTGATACTCGTATATTGCTATGGCTATCAGTAATTCTATCTCTTTGGTGATACTCGTATATTGCTATGGCTATCAGTAATTCTATCTCTTTGGTGATACTCGTATATTGCTATGGCTATCAGTAATTCTATCTCTTTGGTGATACTCGTATATTGCTATGGCTATCAGTAATTCTATCTCTTTGGTGATACTCGTATATTGCTATGGCTATCAGTAATTCTATCTCTTTGGTGATACTCGTATATTGCTATGGCTATCAGTAATTCTATCTCTTTGGTGATACTCGTATATTGCTATGGCTATCAGTAATTCTATCTCTTTGGTGATACTCGTATATTGCTATGGCTATCAGTAATTCTATCTCTTTGGTAATACTCGTATATTGCTATGGCTATCAGTAATTCTATGTCTTTCAGACGCTGTGCCGTGTCCCGTTTCTGGCTGACTCACGCGCGCTCCGCGTTCCCGTGCCTGGATGAGCCTCACTTTAGAGCCACCTTCAAGCTCACCATCGTCAGGGACAGGTGAGAATATCATCTTCAAAGTTTGTAGAAAAAAAAACCGGCCAAGTGCGAGTCGGACTTGCGCACGAATGGTTACGTACCAATATCTTTGAAATGGGCAAAATTCATGTCTGTTGAATTGGAGCCCCACCTAAATATTTTTTTATTATGTTTTTTAGTAGATTTACTTACTACTAAAACTAAAACTAGAAGCGTGATAGACTACTGTCTACACGCTTCATGAGATACAGACACACAGACTGACTGAATTTAGTATAGAAAATAATTTGCTGGTAGTTGTATATTATACTAGCTGTGCCCGCGACTTCGTCCGCGTGGAATTTAAAATAAAAAAAACTTAAAATAAAAGTAGCCTAAATTACTCCTTATTACATCAGCTATCTGCCTGTGAAAGTCCAGTCCAAATCGGTCCAGCCGTTTCAGAGATTAGCCGGAACAAACAGACAGACAGACAGACAAAAATTGTAAAAAATGTTATTTTGGTATATGTACCGTGTATACATCCATATGCATTGGGTAAAAAGCGGTTATTTTAATATTACAAATAGACACCCCAATTTTATTTATCTGTATAGATGTATATATATGTACTTCTTACATTATAAAACAAGTAAAACATATTTAATGAAGATACTAGAGAGATCTGAGTTCAAAACCTGGTGCAAAAGCAGTGCATTTGGTAGTTCCACTTTTAAGGGCTGACTTATCACATGCTCAGCAGTGAGGAAAAAGTTCGTTTCGAAACGTGCATATTTTCGTAATAATAACATGAACAAATGTTTAGGCCATATGTGAGGTCCGCCAACGTGCAGAGGATTAAACCCCAATACGCAGAGGCTCAAAGGCCTCCTCCGTATTGGGGTATTGGGGTAAAAAAAAATATTATAATAATAAATAAAATAAATATTTTGGACACATTTTTTACACAACGTTCTCTAGTCCCAAACTAAGCAACGCTTGTACTATGGGTACTAGAAAACTAATAAACATACTTAAACAAACTTTTCTTTTGTAAACAACCAGACACTGGAAAAACACTATGTTCATCACACAATATTTTTCCAGTAGTGAGGATCGAAACCACACCCTGGCGCAAGAGGCAGGGTCACTACTCCCCACGCCAATCGGGTCGTCGATATGTCTTTATATATATATCTCACTAAAAACAGTACTAAATAGCAAACTCAGTGGAATATACGTATATAGACTGTTACTTTACTTCACGTATTTCGTATAGCTCTGTTCTTAATTTCAGATTCCACGTGTCCCTGACGAACATGCCTATAGTGGCGACGGAGGAGGCTGGCTTCTACTTGGGCCACCGGTTGGTAAGTGACGGTGTTCGTTGTATAGTTGAGATATTTCATCTATTCCAGGCCTTTGTCAAGTAGATGCGGATCTTAATTAGGTCTGAAGGGTATCAGATTGAAGTTTGTCGAAGGCGCAATCAGAACATACGCCGTAAAATTACAACTGGCATTAATTATTAAATGAAACAAAACACTCGACTCCATTGAATATACTAAACCTCTCTTTGTCTTTTCGCGGAAATCATACTGTAATAACCTATATCACTCCCACAACAGAGACGAGAATATAACAACACCTCAAATTTCGAAATCCGTCATAAGTCATAACTTCTATCAAGCTTATAGTGTTCCGAGCGCAATTTATATTTTCTTTTTAATTATCCTAGCCAATCCATGGCTGTAGGATAAGTAGTAATCGTTTCAGGAGTATTCCACGAACACAAGTGTAACTAGGAAAATCGCCTTGATTTTAAATGTATACTTGTCGCCGGTGAGAATTATACTACCTTGAAACTGGCGTGTCGCAAGGCGGAATACTCTCTCCCGTCATTTTCTCAGCTTTGATCAACTTTATGTTGACTTGACAGCCTAATATAGTTTCATACATATTAAAAGTGCAAACAACACTCATAAGAACCTTTGCTATTGCCAGCTGCAAGACGAGTTCGCCCAATCGCCCCCGATTCCGCCCCACATGACGTCGTTGGCGGTGTGCCGGCTGCAGCGGCGGGCGGCTCCGCCCCCGGACGCCGGCGACGCTAACGCCACGGATGCTAATGGCAATGAGGCCGCCGACGCCAATGGGGGTGCCGACGCCAATGGGGGCGGCGACGCCAATGGAGGCGATGACGGCATTGGGGGCGGCGGCGCAACGGAAGCGCCGGACGACGCCGCAACGGCACCTGAAGTTAGCCTGTACAGCGACCAAAACGCCGTCCTTGACGAGTCTGGGTGAGTTGTGTCGTCATCGAAGTTGACTGTAAGTTATGTATATCTGTCCATATTGTTTTTCATGTGAAAAGTTCTCAAGTGAGCCGGTGGTTCACCTGATGCTAAGTGAATACCCATGGGCATCTGCAAGAACCGATGGCTTTCAGATGTGTTGACAACATTTCAACAGTGGGCCTCGCCAGTTCTGTAAGGCCGTGGTAATTTCCTGGACTAGCCAGCTCATTCATGCATCGGAAGCTGTGCGGTCCTACCACAGTAGAGTAGATGTGTAATAATATATCCCTTGATTTTTCATTAACTTTAGTGTCTACGCCATTTTATTTAAAAATAATAATTTATAAAATTATATAAATATTTATTGTTTCACATGTATGTTTAATTTCATTATAACGTACACATCACTCATTACCGGCAATAATATGCACATCCGCCCATATCCCTCCCCTTCCGCTTCCTATAAAAGCACGAAGAAATGAAGATTGACCTCTTTCTCAACGCTCGCACCGCACGAATAAAAACTTCAGTCACCACAGCGCTGTGGTGAACACGCTAGTTTATTAAACTCCAAATTAATAGCAAAGTGTTGTGGTAGTGAAAAGACCAGTGACCGCCGTTTCAAACTGAGATATCGAAGGACAACTCCAACTCCAGCTTCCAGGTACCTAACTTTTCCTACACTAAAGTTTATTTAGAAACTACACTCAAGTCAGTCAAAACTCACTACACTTTAGTTAGAAAAGTGTGCAGCACCATACGCGCGATAGGATTAATCTACTTATAAAAACGTAAGTAATCACAAAGAAATGTGATCAATGTTAACCACACAATGCGCGCTACCTGAATGGTTATTACATTCCTGGCGTCCGATGAGTAAGAAACGCATGCGTCCACTGGTGTTCTATGAGGTCCTAGTACTTCCTCGGACGGTTCTGCCCATTTGTGCAACCGTGCGATGGCCAGTACGAGGCTGCCATTCGAGAACATTTATTTAATTAGCGGCTCTACAAACTCTATGGCCAGCCCATTGCTGCTTTGTCTTACTAGTCTTCTGAAGTGTGTTGTTTATGGTCTACTGCCGATGACTTCGTTGTGATTTGTATATAGACTGAGTGTATTATCGCAGCCCTCTGTTGGAGTGGGCGCAGAAGACGATCCAGCTGTTCGCGTTCGAGCTGAACACGTCCTACCCTCTGCCGAAGTTTGGTGAGCAACCGTTATTGTTAAATTAGCGCTTGTAGTTTCATTTGGTAATAACTTATATAATTTAGTAAATATAGTCCATTTTCATTGTTGATTAATATTCAATGTGCTCAGAAGTAGCTAAGTGTCCGGGTGCTCGCTTTTATGTTAAATACTCGAGCATTCCCAGTTCGAATCTCGGTGCCGGCGGCAATGAGTTGTGCTCAGCGGTGAAGGAAAACATCGCGAGGATACCTGCACATCTTCGAAACAATAATGATAAAAATAAAATTTCGAAGATATGTTAAGTCTACAAATTCGTTACGTAGTGGGGCCGCGTGGTGGACTATGGCCTTATACCCTCTGTACAGAAGACAAAAATGAAACGTCTTCCGTGCTTGCGTGCAACAACCGTAGGGTTGCTGATGCGTTTTCACCTTTTACAAACCGCCCAAGTGCGAGTCGGACTCGCGCACGAATGGTTCCATACCATTTTCTATAAAGATCGGAAAAAATCATGTCTTTCCCATTAAAATTTTTGGAACGAATTTCCTTACGGCAGGCTTGGAGGGGATAGGGATTTTGCTGCGCGACCGAACTGAAAAAAATGTGATAGTAAAACCGTAAGAAAAAAAAAATGTGTGCGTGTACTAGCGTACACTCGTAAGAAGTGAAACTTTTTTGTGACGTTATTTTTCAAAAAATAATTTAGTATATGCAACTTTACAGAAATTGGTTAAATAAAGTTAAATTAGATAAAGTTTAATAAAAGGCTTTTATTATCATAGACATAAATACAAATTCTACAATTATTTCATTTTACCTTTGTATAATACTTGCAACGTGAACCTTGTTTATTTCAATTAACCTCACGGATAGAAGGCAGACATTCGACTCGCGCGCGAGTGTTGTGAGTGAAGTTTTTTTGGAAAACCGAACCTGCGGACGTTGGATCGACGTTCGCAACCGCAAGTTCCAGGAGCCGATCGAGGTTTCGAAGAGCATCATCGGTCAGCTTCAGATTGTGTCTTCGGTGGAAGGCGCAGTCAGGTCACGGTGGGCGGTGCCTGCCTTTGGAGAAGAGGAAGTCGATACAGTGTCGTGCTCTGAAGTATTAGAGCTAGCACTGTCATTACTACAAAGATTATTATTGAATTTCATTAATTGTAATAGAATTATTACTATCATTGATGTCGTTATTATATATTTGTGTTATTAATGGCTTATGGTAACTGAAATACGAAATATATTGTTTACATTTTAGAATTAGAATTAAAATAAACCCTTTGATTTTGCTGATCACTTTAATATATATATATATATATATATATATTGTTATGAACACACAAAGGAACTTACGCCATCTAGCGTCAACTATTAAAACCACTAAAGAATAAAGACTACATAAAACCCCCTATTCAACACTAGATGGCGTTAGAGGAACATTTTAAGATAAGAAAAAGATGGCGCGTAACGCAAAAATGTTACACTAATTTTTTTTCCAACCCCGATAAAGAAGTTTCACTTCAAAAATCCGTGGAATAAAACCGTTAAATGAGACGTGCGCAGGCGCGACAGTCGCATAATTTTATGTTGTCAAACAAAAATAAAGAGACATATTTTGTTATTTTAGTTGATAATTTGAATTACGATGTTTTTTTATTTTAAGTAATTTATTATTTCCTAAAATGCTGAATTTCCTAAATACTTTCTTGTACTTAAATAAAAACTAATCGGCAAAATTTAAGAGAAAAATCAAGAAAACCTACATAAAATTGAGCACGATTTTTTTTGCAATTTGTGTCGATTCTACATTAGCCGAAGGAACTTCGTTCCTACCTGGTGTCCCACGACACCACATCATTTGTTTTTTATTTTGTTTTTTAGTATTTGTTGTTATAGCGGCAACAGAAATACCTCATCATGAAAATTTCAACTGTCTAACTATCACGATTCATGAGATACAGCCTGGTGACAGACAGACAGACAGACAGCGGAGTCTTACTAATAGGGTCCTGTTTTCCCCTTTGGGTACGGAACCTCAATAACATGGGCTATCTTGATAAGACGTCGACATTTTCGTGCGGTGAGAATGTCGACCGCTTAGCCTAGTGGCCCAATCTTACAGCGGCTAAAATTTGTGCGTATATATATATATATATACTACATATTTTACATTTTGTTTATTGACATATTTATGTACAAAAAATATTAACATTTAAAATATTGGGTTTTTTAAGATATTGTCGTGGTCGACGGCAGTATACAGTACTCGGAGGGTTGGGGGTTGATCGTTCTCCATCCCTCTACCCTGACCGACGCCAAGCTTATCGCAAAACTGATCGCGCAACAAGTGAGTATAACAGTATACAATATTATGTCAGTATGTAATATTATGTAACCATTTACATCAATTGAAATAGTAGATAATAGTAATTGACAGAGTAATAGAGTCGACTTTTTTTACATAGTCATTATGAAGTCGTTACAAAGAGTCGTTATGAAAGTTACGAAGTTAATGTAACTATCGACCGTTCGTTGAATACAGGAACCGGGCATTAGACGCAGTTATATACAGCATGGCGTTGCATCCGTGACCTTAAATGAACTAAGTTTTAACAACTAGCTTCTTACCATAATCATAACACAAAATAAACGTTAAAAAATCCATAATAAAAAATAATGATTTTCAAAGTAATAAAATAAAAAATAAACAAAATTTATAACATCCTGTAGTGTTTACAACTGACTAATTCCTATATTCAGAGATTTTTTCATTCGTTGCCACAACGTCGCTTTCCAAGTCTCTCCTTCTAACAGTATGTTTTATCTCTTTTAAGTTCATTCAACCAATTCATATGCTTTGTTACCATTAAAATTAACATTACGTTAAAGTTTTATACGTACGTATGTTCTAAAGTTATTTGTTTTGGAAAATTTAATAACTCGGAAAATATTTGTATCAAAGAACGTAAATGTTTAATACAATTTTTAAAAGTGTTAGGTCCATCCGTTCCCGGTAAAATCGATGGTGATTATTTACCAATTACCTACCAGCCGTGTTAGCTCAGTGTCCAGGCACTCGCCTTCACACTGAACTCTGTTAATGGGTTGTTACGGAACCCTCGGTGAACTAATTCGACTCGCACTTGACCGGTTTTATATCAACCCGAACCCCGCGGCAGTGGTTCGGCGGGCTGGTGTCCCCCCGATGGTGGAGCTCCCAGTGGCTGATGGAGGCGCTCACCTCGGTGCTGGCGGAGAAGGCGGCGCCCCTGGGGGATCCCGCGCCCGAGAGAGAAGAAGACGCTCTGCTCCTCGACCACGTGCTGCCCGCCCTGAGGTGATGGGGATAATATCTAACTAAAAAAAACATGTGTATACTATGTACGCACTTTAGAAGTTATACTTCTTTGGCGTAACAAAAGAACAGAACTAATAATTTTATACCCTGTGCCAGCACTCTTTGTGGAAATGACACAAATGATAACGGTTTAATTAAATGACTAGGAATTATAAAGTCAAAAGTCAAAGTCAAAATTTCTTTATTCAACATAGGCTTATTTTAAGCTCTTATTGAACGTCAAAAACTACCACCGGTTCACTAAACTAGACCTGCAAGAGAAGAACCGGCAAGAAACTCTCGTCTATAGGTAAATCTCAAAAACTTGTTATTGGTTGCCGTGGTGAAGTAAAAATGTTACTCTCATTTTTTTTCAAACGCGCCAAAATAAGTAACTTCGAAAATTGAGTATCAATCAAATATTGTTCTCATTTTTGTTTTGCTATATCAAAAGCAACATTGTCTTCAGTTGCTTTGTGCGGCTAAAATGCCTCGACATGCCAATGCTGAGTATCTGAATTTAATCTGATGTTCATAAACAGATTGGACTCGAGCTTCTCTGTTCGCGCCGTGGCGTCTCCGCGGCTGGAGAGGACGGAAGTGGACCCCACGGCCGAGGAGCTTTCCTTGCACAAGGTACGACTTTGTTTTATACTATGTAGTGATGCACAGCAAAGAGACGTTTACATTTCAAGCGACATTTTACCATAGTCACAAGTTCAAATTGACTTTTAAGTATTATTACCAATCTTTTGTACGGGAATATAGAAGAGGGTTGTTTTTAGACTTTACGTAAGAACCATCCTCGTACTTCAGGGAATATTATAAAAGATGACTAATTCCCATTCGCCTCTGGTCATTGCATATCTACTGAAGGGCGCGGCGATAGTGAGCATGGCGATCGAGGCGGCGGGCGAGGCGGCCGGCCGCGCGGCGCTAGCGCGGCTGCTGCGCGACCATCGCTTCTCCAGCACCGACGCCAGGTGAGCGCCCCCCGCCCGGCCGGCAATGCATAGCGCGCAGCGAAGATCTCGCTAACTGTCGCGGGTGTTGCTACAAAGTCAGCAATGGAATTTAGTAACATTATTGTTACAGACGTTAATGTCGAAAGCTTTTATGTGGTTCACATTACGCAGAGTTTGCGATTTTGGCTATGTTTTTGTGGCCTGACGTCTTTTTTACAATAATTTAGCTTATACATCAGAATACCACATTGGCTATAATTAATATACATATTTTTATGTATATCTGTCTGAATGTTACGCCTTCAGCCTATTTTACGCAGCCGCAGTCGCGGGCGGCAGCTAGTATTCGACAATCTGGGCATTCTCCCCAGGGACCTGTGGCGCGCGCTGCAGAGGAACGGCACGGAGGACGCGCCCGCCCACGCGTGGGACGGCTGGTGCGAGAGGGCGGGCTACCCGCTGCTCTCCGCGCGGACGTCCGGCTCCGACGTGGTACTGAAGCAGGAACGGTGAGCGCTTCTCTGAAGCTATAATAAAACGTGGGCAAGGTCTTCGAGGCAAGAGTGAATAGGTTTTTACTTGGCTAGCGCGCTTACCATCAAAGGCTGCGTCGCCACTTACCATCAGGTGGGATGGCGGTCGAGTGCTGGCCGGTTCTAAATTAAAAAAAAAACTTTTTGCGCGTTAGGGAAAAATGATGGGAGTAAATTTTTACGATGCACACGCACACCGTCATGAAAAACCGACACCCCGAAGTTAGCTAGACATCTACGTATGTTTGCGTGAGAACTGACAAACTTTATTTAACTAGATAATGAGTTATAATGAAACTTTCAATGTATTAAATACCTTTTTTCTATTGTTAGTGTCGTTTTTTCTAGAAACGTAGAATAAGGCGAAAGATGAAATTTTTGAAAAGATTTTTATCTTGTTACGCCAAAGAAGTATAACTTACAGCGTGTACATAAGTACACACACACTTTTTTTATTTTTTATGTGAAAAGTTGCCCAGCGAGCAGACGGTTCACCTGATGTTAAGTGAATGCCGTCGCCCATCTCTACTACACCCGAGGGCTCCAGATGCGTTGACAACCTTTTGTAAATTGAGTTCCGGCCACCTCACTCACCAGGCGAAACGCGAAAGTATTATACTTCCACTTGACGCCGGTCTTCTGTTAGGTCGTGGTACTTATCCGGACGAGCCTGCCCGCTCGTGCAACAGCCGAGGCTGTTGCGCGGCCCTACCACCGTAAAATCACTTTTGTCGGCAATCTCAATAACACTGCCTATGTTTTTTTTTTATTCTATTTTTTTTTTGTACCCGATTCGACATTCATACGCGTTCATATTAAGTTTTTTAAACGTTTTGAAGAAGGCCACTGTCACCTCGCTCGAGCGCCGATGGATACCACAGTATCCGTTAAAATTTGTAATAAGATAGGATGATTTTTTTTTTGCTGCTGCGGGAATCGAACCCACGCCTTCGAGAATCGCTCCCGTGCGTCCATTTTTTCATTTTAGTTTCATCTTAAGTGTAGAGATTACCACTTTAAAACATTCAATCTACAGTATGCACGAAATATACGGCGTCTTTCGTCCATGGACATCATAATATCCGAAGGGAGATTTTAATATAGGTCGGTGTTGGATCGTTGTTTAAAACATTCAATCTACAGTATGCACGAAATATACGGCGTCTTCGTCCATGGACATCATAATATCCGAAGGAAGATTTTAATATAGGTCGGTGTTGGATCGTTTTTAAAACATTCAATCTACAGTATGCACGAAATATACGGCGTCTTCGTCCATGGACATCATAATATCCGAAGGAAGATTTTAATATAGGTCGGTGTTGGATCGTTTTTAAAACATTCAATCTACAGTATGCACGAAATATACGGCGTCTTTCGTCCATGGACATCATAATATCCGAAGGGAGATTTTAATATAGGTCGGTGTTGGATCGTTTTTAAAACATTCAATCTACAGTATGCACGAAATATACGGCGTCTTTCGTCCATGGACATCATAATATCCGAAGGGAGATTTTAATATAGGTCGGTGTTGGATCGTTCGTCCAAGAAAAAAAAAATGTAATTCTACAAAAAAAAGTGAGATAAACAGAGCAATAATTAATGAATTAATAAGCAAACAATAATTAAGTCTTGTTTTTACCTTTATATATGAAACTTATACATGAGTAACGAAAAAGACTGATTGAATGGAAGAACTAATGAATGGTTGGGTGTAACATTAAGCAGTGAATGAAACCGAATGAACGAATGAATGATTTCGATAAAACATTGTTGAAGCTTCGTCATGACTGCGGAGCCGCCTGATCCCGAACCCCCGATGATGAACAGCCTCCTCACAATGGATCTGAGGGCAGACCTCGAAGACCTGTTCTATGAACCAGGTACGTTATTTATCGAGCGACATTACAAATGTAAATCAAATGTAAATGAAGGTTTGCGCGTATATTTGTCACCTATAAAATTTACCACGAAATTTATATGATCTACTACTTTATATATAAATTATACTTTGCACGCTCTAAATGTATATCGTTGAAGTAGCCAGGGCCCAATTCCTTTGTTGAGGTAAAAAAAACCGGCCAAGTACGAGTCGAACTCGCGCACGAAGGGTTCCGTATCCACTATTATCTGTAAAAACGGCAAGAAAATCATGTCTCTAAATATTTTCATATTCTGTTTTTAGTATTTGTTGTTATAGCGGCAACAGAAATACATCATCTGTGAAAATTTCAACTGTCTAACTATCACGATTCATGAGAAACAGCAACTTGTAGTGACTACTGGTACGTTGTGTAAAACAATGTCTCGAAACGTTTATATTTATCACTAGCGACCCGCCCCGGCTTTGTATAGGTGCAATGTATTATACATGTAAACTTTTCCCATGAATCGCTCTATCTAGTAAAAAAAAACACATCAAGGTCAATTGCGTAGTTTTAAATATTTAAGCGTACATAGAGACAGACAGACAGCGGGGCGACTTTGTTTTATACAATATAGCTATAACTCCGTATGTGTAAGTATGTTTATCGGTTATCCACTACCCAAAGCACGAACTATGCTTAGTTTGGGACTAGATAACGTCGTGTAAAAAACGTCCCGAAACATTTAAATGATACATTACTTCGTTCTATCACTCTTTCTATCGCGTCTATCCGCAAATGGAAGCAGAAAACTTCACGGAGGGCATGGAGGAGGACGCGAACGCCACCACCGCCGCACCAAGCACCACCACCGCCAGGAGGCCAACGGCGAGGACGACGAAGGCGCCGCCGCCGCCCAAGTGGGTCATACCGGTGACCTTCAGCGTGGGCCCCGTCGCGCCGGAGCCCGAAGAGGCGGGGAACGTCACCAGGGCGTGGGGCAACACCACCGAGGGCATCCACAACGGCACCTGGTGGGTTCCCGATGGTAGCGGTGTCCACGAGCGTCAACTGTTGGAGTGATTAAAATATTAAAATATGTACAAAAAGTGCGAAAAGATTGTCGCCGCTGTGGGAATCGAACCCACGTCTTCGGCATTCGCGGCCTGACGCTCTAGCCACTGAGCTAAACGGCTGATTGCCACACCGACGAAAATCTTAACGCATTCTTCTACATTGTTTTCTTAGCATTTGAAGCAATGCTTGGCGCCATCTATTGTTATATCCTTTCCAGCATTCAAACAATTTCGAATATCGTTTTACAACGATAATTCGAACGAGAGATGTCGCCATTGCTTTTTTAGAAATTGATTTATTTTGAATAGATGTCGGAGTGATACTTTCTCGACCCGAATGGCGTAGTGGGTAGTGTACCTGCTTTATACGCCAGGTGTGGGTTCGATCCCCACTACTGGAAAAATATTGTGTGATGAACATAGTGTTTTTCTAGTGTCTGGGTGTTATTATGTATAATATGTATTTATTTTGCAAAAGAAAGGTACGTTTAAGTATGTTTGTCATTTATCTAGTACCCATAGTACAAGCGTTGCTTAGTTTGGGACTAGAGAATGTTGTGTAAAAATGTGTCCTAAATATTTATTTATTATTTATTTACTTCTTGGCGCGGCCAAGGGGTGTTTCAGCCGTGCTAGGGCCACGCAACGGTGTTCGCTGTTGCACGAATGGGCAGGTCCGACCGACGTAAAGTAGAAGTGTTACACTTCTGCGTTTCGTCTGGTGAGCGTGGTGGCCCGGGCTCACTTTACTGATAGGTGGAAGCCTACGGATGTTGCGAATGTCCATGGGCGGCGGTTACCGCTTAACATCAGGTGAACCGCCAGATCGCTTCCACGTTCCCTCGCTTAGCAGACGCGTCGTCAACCTTTCGGAGGTTGCGCCCTAGTTACCTCACTCAACAGACGAAATGCGAAAGTGTACTGCTTTCACTTCACGCCGGTCTTCTGTGAGGCAGCGGTAACCGGACGGTGCTGCCCATTCGTGCAACAGCGAGCACCGTTGCGCGGCCCTACCACGGTGACTTTAGCTCTAAATCTACCACTGCCGTCTAAGACTAGTTTACTTTTAGTAAGTGCCTTAAAAAAGAGGAGGTTCTCAATTAGACTTTCATTTTTGAAGTGAAACTTCTTTAGGCGCGACTAGGGAGCAACTCACGATTTTTTCTGACGGAAGTAACGCTTTTTCTGACGGAAGTAACGTCATATAAGTATATGTCATATTTTAAAAATATGACATATACTTATGACGTTACTAAATGTTTAATCATTTCAGTGATATATGCCGTCAACGCCAAAGAAGTTTTACTTCAATCGCGCGTAAAGGTTACACGCACACACTTTTTTTATGTTTGTTACCTCATAACTTTCGACTGAGTACACCAGTTTTGATGGTTCTTTTTTCATTTGAAAGCTGGTGCTTCCCATGTGGTCCCATATTAATTTCATCGGTATTGGATCTTGGGCCCCGGAGACGCTAAGGCAACTCCTGAAAATCAATTATAAAATGCATACAGAGCGAGATTTGGGGTCGGTTTTTGTTTTTCGTTATAGAAAGAACTTAAATACTAATGTACAGCGTGTCGTTACCATCGCGACAATAAATGAACGCACATATAGGGGATAACTTTTTAAAGTTGTATTAAACATTTAAATTCTTTAAACATCAATAATTACAGAGTTATTAAATTTTCCAAAACAAAGAATTTTAGAACACCCTCACCTATAAAAGCGTAACGTAAAGTTCATTTGTAAAGGTCACAAAGTATATGAATGGGTTGAATGAATTTAAAAGAGACAAAACATACTGTTAGAAGGACTGGCTTGTAATACGACACTGTGGCGCGAGTTGTATAGGATGTTACAAATTTTGTTTCTTTTTTACTTAGTTTGTTGGAAAAATATTTTTTTTTAATTATGGATTTTGTTTAACGTTAATGTTCTTTAATGATTATTGGCACGTAGCGTTAGACGTGTGTTCATTTATTGTCGCGATGGTAACGCCTCGCTGTATAAGTACTATCTCTGTCGCAGGTACGAAATCAGCAACGACACCAAAAGCCACCGGCTCTCAAAGTGGGTGGAGAACGTGACGCACTTGATATGGATGAACGACACAGAAAGTGAGTTAGAGGGAGATTTTACTTGTAATTTTTTTCGCGCAAGTCTCTGAACATACGATGAAAGTGCAAATAAATGTAAAAATTTATCAATTTATCATCTGTGAAAATTATACAGCCTGGTGACAGACAGCGGAGTCTTAGTAAAAGGGTCTTGTTTTACCCTTTGGGTACGGAACCCTAAAAAGACATTAAATGCAATCGATAAAGTGAAGTTGGTCGCTTAGGTCCCTTTTTGCCCTGTCTGTGTGTCGCATCGTAAAAATTTTACTCTCATAATTATTTCCAAACGCGCCAAAAGATGTATAACTTAAACATAAAATCATTAACATTGTAGGAACTATTCTCGATTAACCAATTGTAAAATTTTATTTTAAATAGCGTAGTAGTTAATATTTTAATTTCCTTAGGTATCTTGTTATATATCTGCACAAATATAAAGAGACAGCTTCTACTATATTTTCTAAATTTAGGATTATCACTCAGTACAAGTGTGTGTTGAGCCGTGATAGCTCAGTGTCCGGGCGCTCGCCTTTAATTCAATATACTCGAGCAACCTGAGTTCGATCCCCGGTGCCGGCACCAATGAAGTTTTTAACTTTAAGTGCTGACTTATCACGTGCTCCGCGGTGAAGGAAAACATCGTGAAGAAACCTGCATATTTTCGAAATGATAACAAAATAAAAATATTTCGAAGATATTATGTGAAGTCCGCCAATCCGCAGTGGGGCCGCGTGGTGGACTATGCCCTGATACCCTCTGTATAGAGGAGGCCTTTGCCCAGCAGTGGGCCATGTATAGGCTGTTACTTTACTTTTTTTTTTACAAGTCTGTACGGGTCCCGGCGGTTCTGAATATGTATATTATCATTTTTTTGCCTAGGCGTGATTTGACTGATTTGTGAAAAGTAATGTGTTTTCTATACCAGAATGCGCTTTATATTACATTATATAACATTTTTGAATTATACTCTAAAATTATTTATCTAATATTTACAAGATTAAATCTATCTAAAATTACATATTATCTAATAAACTATATTGTTCTATATTGTCTATATTGTACTCTTCCAGTGGTGATACCGGATCTGGGTAAACACAAATGGGTGAGGTATAATGTTGGAGCGAGAGGGCTATATAGGGTCGCCCCTCAAGACTACTCCGATATTGAGGTGAGTAACGTTTGGTGTTTATTAAATTTGGCATCCTTTACGCTGCCTATTGAGGTCACCAGGCCTAATATGTTCTAAATTTCGTAAGAGCCAGTATAAGACCTATCATTTGAAAACGAATTATTTTTTTATATAGAAATTTAAACTTTTTTTCAGTGTGAAAACGATAAAAAAATATATCTTAAATTCAAAATTTTAAAGCAACTTTTTTATAGATATAGAAAAAAAAAACTATAAAAAAATATTGTTTTTGCTTCACATTAATGTACAGACTTTGACATATTGAGCATTCCATAATTAAAAAAATATATATTAATATTTTATTTTGACAAGAAATAACCAGAAAAGTATCAGTACCAGTTTGTTTGTTTATCCCGTTAAGAGTGGACACCATATTGATAAGCAGTTTAGTAATTATGCGTTCAGCGAAAAGTTTTAGTGCTCGTCAATAGGTAGACGGTAAGGCAGGAATTTCTTAAGGTGTTCATAATGTTTGAAAAAATTTAAAAATAGTCTTTGAAAAAAAAAATTAGGTCACAAGTACGTACCAGATTCAGATTTAGAATCACATTCTGTATATGCTCTTTTATATCTCTTATATCTGAATATAATATATGTAGTTTACAATGTTATATTTTACTTTGCAGCCCACTTGTATAGGAACTTAAGCAATTGTTGTCATTATTATTATTATTTTGTATTATTATTCTTTTTTTTTTTCTCATCTAGTAAATAATAATATTAATATTAGTAGTATTTTCGTCCGTGAAGTCAACTTTAGGCTCCATTTGAAAATCAGCGCTGTAGTACAAATAGAACTGCAGCATTTTGCTGAAATGGAGTTCCTATTTGATGTCACAATAGTTATTTTTCTGTTTATGTTTTGAATATGTATTTTTTTTGTTAAGTGATGTCCAATAAAGAGATTTTCTTTCTTCTTTCTTTCTTCTTCTTCTTGTATTATGTCCGTCGTCTATAAAATCACCCTGTATAGATAAAGTTCTTCAATACTAGTACTGTCCGATAGTCTGCGGAGGTGGAAGCGAGGCGGGCCGCGGAGCTATATCAGGGCGGGTTGCCAGCGGAGAGGGCTCTTTTGCTGGATGATGCCTTCGTGCTCAGCAGAGCCGGTAGACTGCCGGCGGGGAGGGCGATGGCGGCGGCTGGTGAGTCACCACCGCCGTTGGTAGAGTGAGATGTGTGGTGGCACCGTTTAACAGCCTTCACTGTTGCACGAACGGTCTGTATTTCCGTCCAATTACAACGTAGGCGTCTTCATTGACGACCCGAATGGCGTAGTGGGTAGTGTACCTGCCTCCTGCGCCAGCGGTGTGGGTTCGATCCCCACTACTGGAAAAATATTGTGTGATGAACATGGTGTTTCTCTAGTGTCTGGGTGTTTCTATATGTATAACATGTATTTATTTACAAAAGAAAAGTATGTTTATCAGTTTTCTAGTACCCACAGTACAAGCTTTGCTTAGTTTGGGACTAGAAAATGCTGTGTAAAAAAGTGTCCTAAATATTTATTTATTTATTTATATTTATTCATGGCCAGCCATGTTTTTGCTCATAGCAAAAGGACTAAGGTATCTCCTACCTGTCGTAAAAGGCGACTAAAAGGGCAAACGGATAGGCAGTACCGAGGGACACCGGTGCGTTCCATAGGAGATCCCGGGGTCCCTCCAAAAGTACAGAAGGTGGGCACCGTGGAGGTTTTAGTGGGTAAGAACCCCACATAACCCTGTCATGTAAGATGACAGGGTATCTTTTGAAGATTTCCCCCCCGACACCAAAAAAAAAGGTGTCCTCATGGCGAGAGTGAATAGGTTTTTGCTGAGCTAGCCCGCTTACCATCAGGTGGGATGGCAGTCTAGTGCTGGCCAGGTTTGAATTTTAAAAAAAAAAACAAGTGCTGGCCAGTTTTGAATTAAAAAAAAAATAACGGATTGGTCCGTCCAGTAAGTACCACGGCCTCACGGAAGAGCGGCGTGAGGTGGAAGTGTTGCACTTCTGCGTTTCGTCTGGTGAGCGAGGTAGCCGGGGCTCACTTTGTTATAAACACTTAGAAACCCTACGGGTGTTGCAAATGTCAATGGGCGGACGTTATTATTTAACATCAGGTGAACCGCCAGCTCGTATGTTACGACTAATACCTGCATAAAACATAGGTATAAACCTGCATATTTTCAAAATAACAAAAAAAAAAAGATTTCGAAGGTATGTGAAGTTCGCCAATCCGCAGCGGGGCCGCGTGGTGGACCCGTGGTACCCCCCGTAAAGAGGCCTTTGCCCAGCAGTGGGATAAAAAGTAAAATATACTTTATTGTGCACCAAGAGAAATACAGGAGAACTACAGGACACATGTGTACAACAGGCGGCCTTATCGCTAAAACAGCGATCTCTTCCAGGCAACCTAAGGGTAGAGGATTCATTGAAAGAAGAAAGCCATACGGTGTACTAAATAAATAATACGAAAAGTAAATACAACGAAAAATATACATATACATACATATAGACAGAAAAAGATATTATGATGGACGACGGGATATGTGTAGGCTGTTACTTTAATTTTACGATAATAATAATAATAAACACTTTATTTGTAAAAAAAATGGTTGTACAAATGCAACGTGATGTTATGTCATAAACATAAGTATCGCATGTTTTTTGCTCTAGACGAGCATACAAATAGTTATTGTGCTGTTCTTAGCGCCTGGATTAATAGATATAATTTCAATAATAAGTTTAAAATTTACAGAAGAAACAATATTAATGAAAAAGTAATAAAAATAAAACAAATAACGGTGGTAGGGCCACGGAGCAGCCTCGGCTGTTGCACGAATGGGCAGGCCCGTCCGGATAAGTACCACGACCTCACAGAAGACCAGCTTAAAGTGGAAGTATGACAAATATTTTCGCATTTCGTCTGGTGAGTGAGGTAGCCGGAGCCCAATTTTCCAAAGGTTGTCAACGCATCTGCAACCCTCGGGTGTGGCGGCTGCCCATGGGCGGCGGTATTCATTTAACATCAGGTGACCCGTCTGCTCGTTTGGCAACTTTTGGCATAAAAATGAAATAAACAAACACTCACACCCCACCCCTATAAACAGCCACCCCTAGTAAGATGTGTTCATTGTAACCGCCAGCGCGCCTCAGCGGGGAGCGCCACTGGGCCCCCTGGCGGGTGGTGCTCGACCACCTCTCGCGGTGGCGGGAACTGCTCCGGCTGTCCGCGGCGGCGCCTCACCTGGACGCCCTCCTCAGGGACCTCCAGCCGGACCTCGTGCAGAGCCTCCAGCTGTACGGGAAGCAGCAGATCGAGGCGGCCGCCATGAGCGAGGACCGGCTGTGAGTTCGATACAGGGTGTATTATAGGAGTTCTAACGATTTTACCTTGATCCTAAAATTTTAACTGTTACAACGACAACTAGTGATTATATCACCGTCCGGGAACGCGGCCGAAGTCCAAGTGACCGCTGCTCCATGCGACCATGTGTCCCTTGGCTCGAGTAGATAACGTCATATCCGGTATACAGTGTTGCCAGCGCCAACAATCCCCTGCGCCAGTTCTCCTTGTTCGTCAAAAATACATTTGATAACGGTTTAATTAGATAACTTTGAATTGTAGTTGAATGTCGAAAAGTTGTTATTGGTGGCCATGGTATTATCAAAAAAAAAACTAATTCTTACACTCTTTTAGGGTTCCGTACCAAAAGGTTAAAACGGGACCCTACTACTATTACTTCGCTGTCAGTCTGTCTGTCACCAGGCTGTATCTCATGAACAGTGTTAGTTACACAGTTCAATTTTCACAGATGATGTATTTCTGTTGCCGCTATAACAACAAATACTAAAAAACAAAATAAAAAAATATTTAAGTGGGGCTCACATGCAACAGACATGATTTTTTTTGCTGTTTTCATAGAAATCGTACGGAAACCTTCGTGCGACTCGCACTTGGTTTTTCGTCATCGCCCATCCGACAAATCCATACTTTGCGATAATTTGAGACTTCGCTCAAAAAGCCAAACTCTGAAGAACTGTTGCGTTTACTCTTCGCAGCTGGCTCAGCGGAGCCCTCCTCACCGCGGGAGTGGAATGGGAGGATGAGTACGTGACTACTCATGCTCTGGAGCTGTTCGACGCGTGGTTCGAGCACAACGAAACCATACCGGAGATATACCAAGAGGTATGCAGATCACGGGTAGTCCAAACGGACAATAGCTAGGTAGTCGGTTTTTAGTGTTCCGTACCCAAAGGGTAAAACGGGACCCTATTACTAAGACTCCGCTGTCTGTCACCAGGCTGTATCGTATGAACCGCGATAGTTAGACAGTTGAAATTTTCACAGATGATGTATTTCTGTTGCCACTATAAAAACAAATACTAAAAACAGAATAAAAAATATTTAAGTGGGGCTCCGTATGGGGTTTTATAGATAATGGTACGGAACCATTCGTGCGCGAGTCCGAGTTTCTAGGATTATATCCGATTTATCGATATTTTTCCATGTTATGTCGAGGCAGATATTTATATTTGTATAAATATCGATACATCGATATCACTCGATGGTGCCGTTACTAAGCTATTCGCTTCGGCGTCGATGGTCTTGGCTTCGATTCCCACACGGGACAAGTATTTGTGTGACCCACGAATAATTAACAAACAGTTCTCCCGGATCTGGGTGTTTTTCCCAAGGAGGGATGTCGTCAGGCACCGGTCGTATTAATCATAGCGGAAAACGCTCAACACGAATCGCATGTTGTGCCGACCCCACCTAGGTGGGATAAGGGCGGATGATGATCGATACATCAATGCATCGATATATCGATATATCGATATTTTCGCCACTGCCGTGCGCAGGGCGCGTTCGTGGCGGGCGTGCGCAGACGAGGCGCGGCCGCTTGGCACCGCCTCTGGCGCGAGCTCCTCTCGCCGCACTCGGCGCGCCCCGCGGCGCTGCTCGCCGCGCTCGCCGCGCCCCCGGACGACTGGCTGTTCTACAGGTGGGCCCCGTGTCGGGGTTGGATTTTGTACTATAATTATTAACCGACTTCAAGAGGAGGCTGTTCTCAATTCGAGTGTATTTTTTTATGTTTGTTACCTCAGAACTTTCTTTATTTATTATTTTTTTATGCAAAAAAAGGGCAAACAAGTAGGAGGCTCATGGTAAGTGGTTACTGACGCCCATGAACATCTGCAAAACCCAAATGCGTTGCCGGCCTTTTAGGAAAGAGTATGCTCTTTTCTAATAAAAATTGATTTGTAAGCCTAAAAATATTTATTTAAATATATATATTTATAAAATAAAATACATGAAATCTTGAAATGATAGCTTTCTTCTCTTTTTAATGAAATACTAGCTTAACTTTGTTTTATCGAGCTAAGAAGGTAGAAATATAAACACTTTTACCAAATCACCGTAGTTTCACTTTGTACAACACTGTTATTACTTATTTTCACTTTTAGACTAAAGTACGACCACTCTAACGATTTAATTTGTGATACCCCGATTGGGCAGCACTATGAAAAAGAAGACCATGAAATGCAGAGATAATGTAATCGCTATGTTTATGAAATGCTTCGGCAGCTTCATTTATGCCAAAGAATGAAACCTCTTTCAGTGTTGCCAACAAGCTCAAGGAATGACTTCTTTTAGTGTTGCCAACGATCATTACTTCGACCGGATCTACTGATTCCAGGTTCGCGTATACGGTGCTGTCGAGTGAGGCGCAGAGGGGAAGAGATTGGAAGACCTGGGTGACTGCGCTTTGCGCCGGCGCCTGCAAGTGCGTGTTCCAATCCATAAATCCTACTTATGCCCGGTTCCTATATTCAACGAACGGCCGTTAGTTACATAGCTTATACGCCCGGTGCCTATATTAGCAAAACGAGGCGTTTTTGGCCGTTGCATTAACTACGGAAATACTAGCGTTCCTTTGATCTACAAGTCGTTATGAAAGTTACGAAGCTACGTAACTAACGGCCGTTCGTTGAATATAGGAACCGGGCATAAGTCGTAGGTACTCAATGACACTAGTAGCAACACATCAGCTTCTGCTGTGACCAACCCTCCATCATCAAGTTTTTACCCGACTGCACCAGAAGGAGGGTTATGTTTTTCGAGAGTATGTATGTATGTACGAGTATAATTGTTTTTTGACAGGGTCTGCAGCCTGAACGGCTTGATGGATTTTAGCTTGCGAGGTTTCGTTAGATTCGTATTTACTGTGAGAGTGACATTCATACACACTGTATCGAAATAAAACATAACACAGAAACCCAGTCCAGTTTTTTAGTTTTTTAATTTATATACTGTTAGAGACCACTGGTGAACATACATAAGAAACTTACCGAGCCAGCATCCGAAACGCACTTATGTTGTTTTACCGAAGACCAACCCTTCATCATTAACATTTTATACTGTTGGAGTCCACTGGTAAACATGGAATTCCCGCAAACAGTAAGTCCAAATTAAAGTGTTTCTGTCTAGTGAGGTAGCCGAGGCCCATACAATAATTGGCATCGTGTTAGACGTTACATGAGTGGTGAATGTCCACCGAGAACGGTAATCATGTACAAGTGAGACTTGTTAAAAAACGTTGCCAAAAACTGGTCAAGAGCGAGTCGAACTAGTACGCCGAGGGTTACGTACCATTATACCGCTATAATAAATTGAATAATCTCCACCGATCGTATCAGGAACGGGTGGACCCAGCAAGTTGTGGCACAGCACAGCAGTGACGCACAGACAGACAGGCGGGCAAGAGAGTGATCTTACAAGGGTTCCTTTGTCCGAACTTTGCACACCCGTCAATGTCACAACTGCTCGTCTGTCTGCCCGTGTGTCACAACAGTGACACGCGGACAGACAGACGGACAAGACAGTGATCTTATAGGGGTTCCCTTGATCAAACTTTGCACACTTCAAATAACCATGACAATGCGATAATTCAGACAGTTTTTCCCATTATAACGACCAGGACCTTCAGGGTTATGCTTACTTATTGTTGCTACTTTTCAAATCCCGGGCGGCGTTTATCAGTTAACATCAGGTGAACCGCCTTGAGCCACCTCTTATGTAAAAAAAAATCTCGCAGGTGGCGCGGTGCGGCCGGGGTGTGGAGGGTGCTGCACCCCTCCCCCGCGCCGGCGCCCCCTCCCCCCGCTTTGGCGGCGGCTGCGCGCTGCCTCCACCAGCCATACGACTACCACCGGGTGAGTGTTTGTCCGGTCGGCGGTTCCAATTCGAATAACTTCATTCAACACAGAAGCATTACCTACACTCTTAATACTTATTGGTTGTCTAAACGCTACCACCGGTTCAAATTCAAAATATCTCTATTCAGGGCCAGATTTAGAGGTCTGGACCCTTGCCCCCAAATTATTTTCTATTGATTTCTGTTAATCTTATCCTTTAAACGAGCAATTATATATATATAGTACCCGGAGGACCAAAAAAAAAAACAGGTCCTCCAAGTACTATTACCTCTTATCCTTTAAACGAGCAATTCTTGTATATATATATAATCGGAATCTCGGAAACGGCTCCAGCGATTTTCATGAAATTTAGTATGTGCATAGATTCGGGGGCGAAAAATCGATCCAGCTAGGTTTCATTTTTAGAAAATGTCCTTTTATCCCTGTTTTCAGGGAATGAAAAATATAATTCGAATATGACGGTAAATTTCGCCGAAGAGAAAATGTCATAATAGCTCGGTCGGTAATCGGGCGGCCCCAAAACAGACGGCCGTGGTTCGCGTCACGATCATTTACACATTAATTTTTTTACTTTTTTTTCGATTCCAGATCATTTCTTTCTTTATTTTAAATTTTTTTCCCTTTTTTTTTAAGTTCTTTCTTTTGTGAAAAAACATCAGTTCGTATTTTCTTATTATTACGTCGGTAAGATCGAAAAATATTATGCATATTTCATTACTCAGTTATTTGTATCTCAATGTAATTTCCAAAATACACGATTTACAAAAAAAAAAAACAAACCGAGCAAAGCTCGGTCCTCCGGGTACTTTTATTTATCTATAAAATGTCTAACGCGTCAAAATGAGCTTTCACTTCTGTCGGCACTCTCGGAGTGCAACCCGTATTTTTTTACTTGCGAAGGTGGCAAGCCTGCAACTGATGTTAAGTGCTAACCGCTCACCGTAAACGTTTGCAACACCCGTGGGGTTGCAGATGCGTTGCCACCTCTTAATAAAGTGGGCGCCGGTTACCTCACTCACGAGAAACGCGGGAACGTTGGGAGCGTTACGTTCCCGCGTTTCTCGTGAGCCTTCTGTGAGGTGATTGCACACCGCCGGACGGGCCTACCCGTTCGCGCAACGGAGACTATTACGTGGCCCGTCCCTAGCTGCCTCTCTATCTCCCGCCTTGTGTCCTCCGCACCCGCCGCACAATTTGTCTTTTTTTTATGCGAACAGTTGTCAAACGAGCAGGCGGTTCGCGTAATGTTAAGTGAATACCGCCGCCCATGGACATCCGCCACACCCGAGGGTTGCAGATGCGTTGGCAACCTTTTGAAAATTGGGCTCCGGCCACCACACTCACCAGGCGAAACGCGAAAGTATTATACTTCCACTTCGCGCCGGTCTTCTGTTAGGTCGTGCTACTTATCCGGACGAGCCTGCCCGCTCGTGCAACAGCCGAGGCTGCAGCGTGGCCATACTACCTATTATATATGGGTCTATTTCACTCACTCTCCCCCCTCTCCCCCCCCCCCCCGCGCCCCCAGTTCAAGGAGCTGTTCGGCGGGCAGCGGGGCGCGTCCGCCGCCCTGGACACGATCGCCCTCAACAGCGCGTGGGTGCCGCGCGCCGAGGCGGACCTCCTGCACCACTTCAGGGCCACCACGCCCCCCCCTGCCGCGCGGTAGACGCCCCCCGCCCACCCCACTTCCAGAGGGCGTCAGGTACCACCACCCATAGCCACCGGCTCGAATCGACGGAACTACCGCTGACTGTTCATAATCGAACTAGCGACCCGCCCCGGCTCCGCACGGATGCATTGTACATATGAACATTCCTCTTGAATCACTCTGTCCAAGAAACCGCATCGAAATCCGTTGCGCAGTTTTAAAGATCTAAGCATACATACGAACAGACAAACAGCGGGACGGCTTTGTTTTATGTAACTATGTAACTATGTGGTGATAAAAAACCAACTGTTAGTTAAAAATCGCATGCGTGCACTTACGCATGCAAGTTAGATGTTATACTTCTTTTGCGTAAAAATTTTTTTTCCCGCGTGCCAACATTATCGATCTGCAGCAACTACGATTAAATAATATAATGAAAATGTTAAAAACAATTGATAATAACATTATATTAATTAAGCTATTAATTAAATAATTAATACCCTCGCAATTTTCTCGGAACGCGCCAAAAGAAATATAACTTCAAATATATTTAAATCTGTAATATTAAAAATAGATGGATTCGTTTCAGTTCTTTGTAAAACGTCAAACTTATTACAATATAATAAAGCTAATAATAAAAGCAGATGATAAGATAAATGGAATTCTTTTTATAGTATTATACTAGTGTCATCTCTCTCGCACACTTTGACAAAGACGTCAAAAACGTCACATAGGTAGTGTGTGACAGAGATAGCGCCAAATGTCGATTTGCGTATATAAACATTTTAAATTTAAATTTATATGGAATAGAGACATGTGATTCGTTTTTACGAAATATTTTGACATAGCTATCGTGTATTGAATTGTTTGAATGTGAACAATACAATTAGTGGGGAATTTCAACTTATTCATGTCCTCCGTGATCAATTACAGTGATCTAATTAAGGATCGGAGCCTCCTTTTAGCTATCTTAACAAAACTGTCACCACATTTGATCCACAACTGACGGAGAAAACCTGTGAACATACATAAAAAAAATTATGTATAATACAGTCGAACATAAAACCTCAATTTTTTGAGTCGTTTAATGAACAAAACCGTCTTGCTACGTGCTAACACTTTATGTGAAGGACTTTTGCAATTGTTTTTTGTTAATCTGTATATTAATACGTGAAGCAAAAACTTTGTACCACCCTTATACGAGAATTGCGCGGACGGCGGAGTATGAAGTTTCCCACACTTATAGTTTATATAGAAAGGAGTGCATAATGCTAATCTTTTAATGATACATATAAATGCATTAAACCAATAAAAAACCATTACGCACACTAACATGTATTTGACACACTTACACCCAGTTTCCGAAAGCGCAATCAATTTTAATTTACGATAAATCTCTTGTCAAACGTTGTTTAACATGATCTGAGTTGCTAGAACGTCTGAAAACAACATTGATTTTGATTTGCAATTAGTCACTGATTAACGGAAAATCAACAGAAAATCGAGTTTCTGAAAGCGTTTTTCGGTGGTCCACGAGCTGTCAAAAGTTTTATTAAGTAATCTGTCAATTTGGACGATCAATCGTTGGTTAAAATGTATTTTATCAAAAATCTTAGTTTTTATTAGAAATAAACATAATTCCCTAATACGTTATAAGGAAATTCATGTGTTCTATTACCTATTTATTATGCGAACATATCATGCGATTAGAAAAAATAGAAAATGCAATTCAAAATTTAATAAATAATATGGATTCTTTCTTTTTATAATACTTACTTGTTTATTTTGGATAAAAGTTCATTTTTTTCACGTTCTGTAATGTTTTTTCTTGACATTTTGCATGTATTTATATAAATTAAATTTTATTATAACTCGGATTTTTACGTTGGCAATCACACGGTGACAGGACTGGATAGTGACGTTAATTTAAGTTTTGTTTAAAAAGGGACAGCTATACAATAGAAAGAGTTAGTTGAAGTAAATCATTCATTATCGTTGGTTATACAGTGATTAGCTAATTTTTCTTGAACAAACCTTCCAGAAACCCAAGGCAGTTTAACAAGAGATTAACAGCTGATCATTTTTGACATAGTGTTATGTGATTGCTGCTTTGATTGGCCTTTCGGAAACTGGGCATTAGGCATATATTCCCTTTTGTTTATTGTTAGTCTGTGGTCAAATCGGGAAATAGATTAACATTGTTCAAACTTATAATTTAAATAAATAACTAGTAGTTATAATTTTCCTTGTTTATAGTAGAAAAATATATTATGAACATGGTAGGGAAGGATGTGTTTAAAGATTCTTGTGATGTGTCAACACTTGTAAGAGACTGAAAGTACATCTCATAGTACCAAAAGCGTACTTCGAAAGCTTTGGTTAGTATTATAATAATTCGGTACCAATTCACTTACTAGGATAAATAAAAATAGTGGTGTCTTATGGACATCCATTTGGAATGGAGTTCCTTTCGCCATATCTTTTCTATATCAATAAAAAAGATTATTTAGACGTTAAAATTAAACATATTTTTGCATATTATCAAGATTGACGGCTGAATCGGCTGGAAAATGTTCTAGTTTCCCAGGTGATCGGCAACTGCAAAAATATGTCGGTTCTTGGTGTCGTTTTTCATTGTTATACTTTTTCCGGTCTAGTCTAGCCCCAGATAAGGAACTCAATTCCAATAACAAAGTCCATTGTATATAAAAAAATATATTAACCTTTTCAGCACACTGAGTACAACCGACATTTCCTAGGTAACTGGCAAGTCTTAACTAAACTTAGAGTAATTTAATCTATGGAATTCAAAATTTATAGCAGTAACTAGGGAACGTACAAACGTCCTGTACCCCTGTGAATCTAAACCATTCTCGATTCCACTTGAACACACAAAAAAAAAAATCATTAAAATCAGTCCCGCCGTTTAGGAGTTCAGTGACACACGTAGTAGAATCATATATGTAAAGATATATAATTTACAGGAAATAGAACTAGTCTTTACTCGGAGGATTTTAAAGTTAAACCTATTGCTGGTATAAGTTGCATAAAATTAAAAAAAAATTGGATAAAATGGCGACTTGTCATGGGACAAAGTTTAGTAACTAAATAAGATTAATCTGTAAAGCCAATTTCAATGCTAAAAAGCTGTGGACTGTCTTCGACGGATTAGCCGCGATAGTTCAGTGTTCGATGCCCGCTTCGAATTCATATCTGGGTTCTTTACATTGCATAATTATGTATAATCAAATAAATATATCGATCGACTTAGTAAATCTCGGTTAGAGTTATCATGAAAATGTATTTTTACACTAATAGATATAGCACGGTAGTTAAGATTTTCGTACCATGTGACATAGACATTTAATCTGTGTTTGTATGTATGTCTGTTGCATGGAGCACGTCTATGGCCCCTTCCGTTTGTATAGTAAACAAGACTTAAAGGCATTTATCGCTTTCTTATAGTTACGAGAAAATAACATAATTTAATAAAACTGGTTTACGGACTTTGGCCGATGTTGAATACAAATTTCAGTCGGTTCGATTACTTTATACTGTTCATGGTCACGGTGGTAGGTGGTACGGTGGTAGGGCCTCGCAACAGCCTCGGCTGATGCACGAATGGGCAGGCCCGTCCGGGTCAGTACCACGACCTCACAGAAGACCAGCGTAAAGTGGAAGTATGACAAATACTTTCGCATTTCGTCTGGTGAGTGAGGTAGCCGGAGCCCAATTTTCAAAAGGTTGTCAACGCATCTGTAACCCTCGGGTGTAGCAGATGTCCATGGGCGGAGGTATTCACTTACCATCAGGTGAACCGTCTGCTCGTTTGGCAACTTTTCACATAAAAAAAAAAAAAAAAAAAAAAAAATGGTCACGGAACATTAATGGGCGTGTTCCGTTTAAAACTCAAGAATTAAAGTCCGTAAAATGGTTTTATTGCGTTTACTTTGAAAATGTTATCAATTTTATTCTTATTATTAAGTTAATGTCTCAATCACAATAAACCTTTCCAAATGTGCCGGTATTAATGTTTTGAAAAAGGAGTTAGTAAGATTTATAGACAGATAGTTGTAAATTTTACATGTTTATACTGTTTTAGAGAAATGTATCGTTTAAATAAGTCATCGTAAAATTGTACTTGTAAACAGCTACGGATCATTCAGTAAGTATACAAGATGTGTACAACAAAATGTCTATAACAAATGTGAAGATTTGAAACACTTGTGTATAAGTAACATTTATCAGTCATTTTCATACATAACCCACATAAACAATTCTCTCCTTTAATAAGTAGTTGTTTTGATTATTTATTTACAGATTTCTTATGGCATAGTTCTATTTAATTATAGGTTATAATTATCGTTTACCATCATATCTATGTATAAACACACTTTGTCGTCCATTTTGCGTAAAACTAGGCCATTAGGTTATTGAACATTTGTAAATGTAGTTTTTGGATATGCCCACGTGGATATTTTGTATTTGCTTTTGTAATAAACTCTCCTCTTGCGAGTTTTTCGTTTCATTCGTGTTGGCAAACCTGAGCGTTACACGGTGTGACGTCACGACTAGAAGAAAAACGAAGCAAAAGATCAAGCCTGTGGAGCCATTTTCGTTTCTTTTTTACTACTAGTATTCAATTGACGAAGACAGGACTACCAAACTGTACAGGGCTACACTGAGCAGATCAACGATGAGAACTTATTGGCGTAGTGGATAGTACACCTGTCTGCGCCAGAGGGTGTGGGTTCGATCGCCAATACTGGAAAAATATTGTATGATAAACATTCTTTCTCTAGCGTCTGGGTCTCTAAATATCTGTAATGTGTATTTATTTACAAAATAAAAGTATGTTTAAACATGTTTTTCAGTTCCTTGGTGTCCATGGTACAAGCTTTGTTTAGTTTTTGGACTAGATAAAGTTGTGTGAAAAGTAGATATGTCCAGAAATGGTTTGGAAAAATAAAATGAAACGGTAAACATACGATTATAAAGCTACGACATAGGCGGTGCACGCCATTTAATTTCTAGCTATGATCGTCTATTCAGCTCCAGGTAGTCAACGAGACAACTGTGATTGTATCTTCTTCACGGTGACAGGGCCACGCAGCAGCCTCGGTTGTTGCACGAGTGGGCAGGCTCGTCCGGGTAAGTACCACCTCACAGAAGACCGGCGTTAAGTTGAAGTATATACTTATGTATAATACTTTCGCGTTTCGTCTGGTGAGTGACGTGGCCGGAGCCCAATTTTGAAAAGGTTGTCAACGCATCTGGAACCCTCGGGTGTAGCAGATGTCGACGGGCGGCGGTATTAAATTTAACATCAGGTGAACCGTCTGCTCGCTTGGCAACTTTTCAAATTAAACAAAATATATATAAATTTTTATTAACAAAAACCATCGACTTTAAAAGTCTTACTCACTAATATACGTTTTTTATTTGAGTTCTCCGGTATATCTCCAGAGTCGAAAGTTCAATACATATGAAATTGATATGGGACCAAACGGGAGACAAATTTTAAAACCGGATCATTTCGTCAAGATACCTGTTTGTGTATTATTTCTATTATTTTTTCTGTATGAAGATTTGGACAAACGATTTATTATTGTTATTAAAAGAGCTTTATGTAATTCAGATGCCTTTGCAGAAAGTTTTTTTATAAAGGAACCCGCAAGTTCTCTTTCAAAACTGAAATCTTAAAATCACATAAATGAAAGAGAGATCGAAGTAGGATGCCCTGGAAATATTCGGAAGACCGACAGGAAGTGGAAGTATTACGCTTTTTTCTTGACATTGTGGTAGCCGCGATTAACACTAAAAAGCGTTATCCATATTAAAAGACATAATCTTGTGTCACAAACTCTGTGTGAGAGAGTTTTATGAACATATAAACGATAGAATACGCGCAAATCCAGAATAAGTCGCAAATCAAGATAAAATTACTTTCATAAATACAAATACTTGTTTCAGTAAAGAAACCCACCCACGATTAGTGAAATAATTGTACAGCGTCCTCTATTGATGATTTTCCGAAACATAAAAAAAAAATTAAATCAACGCCATCTGCCGACATGATTTCTATTTCATGAGTTGTCGCATACACGCATAGTCGCAAAAACTTATAATTCTGTTTGTTGCAGGTCATGTCAAAAGATGGAGCTGTTGATAAAGTTAAAATTAAAAAAACAACATTGCCCTTACTTTAGAATAACATTATCCTGTGTTGTAAGAACGTTTTACAAACATAAAGTTCACGCGGATAAACACCCAGATGCGAAACTACTATCTGTGGGTCACACAAATAGTTGTCCCGTGTAAGAATCGAACCCACGACCCCCGACCCCGAAGCCAATACCTTGGCAACTGCGCCACGGAGTCATCGCTTATATATATAGCTTAAACTTATATTGAGATGATAAGAAAAGAATTTTTTTTCTTTTATTGATGTCATGTGTGTAAAATTTTATCTTTGCACTAAAGATAGATTCGTTGGCATTTATCCCGGTTCCGACGGCATCACTAGAGTGGCAGACGTCAAGATCGCCAATGGATCAATTACCAGAAGATCATTTTCAACTATCTGTCCTCTACCTAAGCCTGATGACCAGTAAATTGGTTGAAATTCAAGATTTCAACGGCCGGGGGCATGTTCAGAAATTATACCACATTTTAATTTATTTATAAACTGCGGTATTTGTCATAGCAACAAATCCTAATTAAAATTTTGATAATCAAATGTCATTGACCTTCTTATAACCGTCAGTGTATAATTTGAATAGAAGTCGTTAACATCTTTCTAAGCATTTTTTATTCACCACCTGATTATACTCCCGAACAGCCGTAATATACGGCAATTTATTCATCATTATTAGCAATGAATATTTAGCATTCGTCATTATTAGTATCAATATTTATTCATCAATTTCGAAAATACTACAAATCAAGTGTTTGGATTACCGATGTCTTGTCATGGTACGTTTGTAAGATGGTACGACTGTACGAAGCTCGCACGGATGGATATTATAATATGATATTATAAAATTCAACAGTCTTACCATATACATACACGTTAAGCGAACGCTGGGTTACGCCGAGCTACATGGTAGACGGAGTGGGGGGTGTTAGGTTTTATTTTCGTTACGGAATTTCTTGATTCGGTCGCCGCGCTCAAAGCCCTTACGCTACAAGAGGTGCCCGCCAAATATGTTGTAAAAATGATATCTTGAGATGTGTGATTAAGCAGGGTTTATTTCATTTACCGGATATCTGGCACGGAATGTGTAATTTTGCCATTACCTAATTAATTGTTATTTGTAGGAACTGTCACTGTTTTTTTTACTTTTTCAAAGGAAATTATAAAGCAGACTGTTACGAAGTAAACGTGTTAATTAGTAACAGTTAAGTAAAATATCAACCGTATATACATACGCGGAGCCAAGTAAAAACCCGTTTCGTATTTCATATATCTTTATTGATTAACAAATATTGTTAAAACCTTATTATGTTTCTCTTTGTTTACCGTTTTAATGTTTTAAATTTATTTAAATTTATTTACAGAGGTTTATCAACAATTATTTACACTGGATACTTTTTAAGGCTTACAACAAATAACTTAAGATTAAATATATATTAGTGTAACAATTACTTAAAGATAAACACCACATGTACAAATAAAAAATATAAATATAAAGATATAAAAAATATTTTTACAAAATGTTGCGCACAAGTGGAGCTGCGTGTTAAGGAACTCCGTCAATTCTTTCGGGAAGTGAGATTAGGTCATGACGCAAATCTTAACTGGCCACGGCTGTTACCGCAAAAGCTGCACGGTATGGGTTTGAGCGAGGACAACAAGTGTGAATGTGGAACGATTGGGGAGGTCAGCCTCCATGTGCTTTGGACTTGTTCGCTGTACGAGGATCTGTGTAAAAGTTTGCTGAATGAGGAGAACTTTGGGGCATTGCGGAAGTTTGCCTACTCCTGGCATCGGTGGCGTCTTGCAGCGAGTCGTCAATTTTTGTGGCGTCAAGCCCCCAAGGTAGGAAAGTTGCATCAATGCGATAAAGACGAGCCTAAAGAATTTGTAGGGAGTCATGCGGAAGTGTGTGCGGAGCCTTGCGGCCAGACCACGCGCACCCTCCCGCGATTCGGCCCATATAACCGCGAGGTTGGTGGGGCCTGGGAGGTGGTGGGTTGTACTTCGCCCAAGCCCATTCGCTCCGCCATACGCTGAAGCAAACGGACGTGCGCGTTAAATAGAAGCTATTAACGAAGGACGTAAGCGTTAAATAGAAGTTAATAGGAGCTGTGCTGCTGGGTTGTGGAATATTCCATCATATTGTTTAGTGCCATGGTCAAATGTTCCAAGCTGGAACTATAGGACGTAGCGAGGAATAGCTAACAAGAAGCAAATAACATCAATACGGGTTCAAGGCCCAAACTAAATAAGACTGACACCAACGTGGTGGGAGGATGCATCAGGGAGGTGCTAGTAGTGGTGGCAGTCCTCATCATCAGGCCGAGCGATGTTGAACTCGACGTGGCGGAAGCTAAATTACTGGCGGCGAAGGCCGAGAAATTTGGCCATAAAAATGGCGGCCGACGGTGGGCAATTCCGGCAGCCCGCCGAGTCGACTTCGTATGCAGCAGCCCTAAAGCTGCCCAAGGGGGGGAACGCTGTTCCGTTCTCCACAAGCACTGGCCCTGTTTTGGCATTTTACCCCACGGAGGAATAAGCACTGGTTTTGAAAACGGCAGAAGATACCAAGGCCGTCCTAAAGAATAAATAATACAGCCAGTCACACTGGAAGTTTAAGTGGAACGTGTTAGGAAGGTCGACAATGCGGGAGTAGTGGTCCAGACCACGACAGCCGAGGGGGCCAAGAGACTTAGGAATGGGAACCGCATTCCTTCGAATGAACCAACTCTTCGAGTGGAGGTCTCCAAGACCAAACCATCTCATGCGTGCCTGCGGAACCTGGATGCCAACCTGGAGCCCAGTGGAATCCCGATGGCCTTGCATGACCAGAACTTTAAAGGTTCAGACTGGACGGCTGAAAAGATCCAAAATCAGTGCAGGGTCTTTAAAAGACGCGGCTTCGAGGGGTCCACCACTGCTATATTGGAGTGGCAGGTCGTGGAGGAAACCGATTTCATTGCCGTCAACTGCTCTAACAAATGTCAGCAGTACTGTCCATCCAGAGTGTACATCCAGTGAAGTGTGGTAAATGTGAAGCTAATGGCCACCGAAAAGATGACTGCAAAACCAGCATTCTTCGTCAGCAATATGAGGGCTGGGCTCTGCGTACGTAGGAGCGCACTCCTGACTGCGTATATAGAAGAGCGTTGATACCATACGGCAGCAGCGTAGGTTACTGTCGCCACGTAGAGGGTTCTATGTGTGTTGTACCTCACGCCCCAGGTCGATTCTGACAAAGGAGACCCCTTTCCAAGGCCCGCGCTAGCTCTCTCGCCAATACGTAACGCATGCTGCACTCAGGATCCTGCATCGTGATTGAAGCGTCTTCCCTCTAATCACTGGACCGCTTTTAAATTTCCCTTTGTAGGTCATCGTCAAAGATTTACCGGCAGAAAAATCCAGTCTGTCAGTCTGTTGCTAATCCTCCATTCCGAAACGACGGTCAAGACGGTCGTCGCTTTCCGCTCGATATCCGCGCGCGACGAGGATTCGATCACAATGGTCACATCGTCGACGTAGGCAATCATGCTAACTCCCACGGGCTTCGGCACTTCGAGGAGGTCGTCGTAAGATCCCAGCGGACAGCCCATGGTTGAAACCTTCCACGTTGCATGGTCTCCAGCAAATTCCAATGCGGTTCGTGAAATAGCTCCGAGTATCCGATAGATATTCCCGGGAATACCTGTTTTCTTAGCTTTGAGTAAGATCATGGGCCACAATGCATTGTAGGGGGCTCCAGAGATATCCAGAAAGATCAACTACACGTATTTCTCACCAGAGCCGCTACTGATCTCATTAATTGTATTTATTGCCGTAACAGTCGATCGCCCTCGCCCTCAACGGTGATGGGCGTTAGATATGCCTCGGTATAGACAGGGAGCGCAAGCGATGATCTCTACGACTCTTTCGAGGATCTTCGCAATACTTCCAGTTCCGAGGTCCACACTTCATAACTTCGTCTCTCCTTACGCAGGTGCCAAGCACGTCTTCCGCTGTTGTAGCAGTGTTGTTCCTGGATCAACACGAAGTCCAACCCAAGCTCTCCAGCAACTACTGGCAGCTCAGTGGTCGCAGCTGCTGAACCATGTAGGTTCAATTGACCAATTTTAGCGTGCTCAGCCACAGTGGGTCATGTTGATAGCCTGCTGTTCTACGAAAAGGCTTGCTGGGCAGTTCATGGCGGCGGTTGTGTAGCCAGTGGAGTCCTTCCAGCGGAAGCGCTTGAATGTAGCACGGCACGATACCTCAGATTTGCAGTCTGCCCTTCCGTGTCCGGTTTCTCCGCATTTTGCGTACGTTATCGTTACTTGAAAGTTACTTGGCATTCTTTGAGTAGCCGGTCTTTTGGCCACTAGGGATCGTCTGCGAGATTGATTCGCTGCAGGCCTTCGTACCTTGGGATCAGTGGCCTTCAAGGTTGGCGAAGTTGCCTCTTCAAGTTTTACCGCCGCTGCGGCGGACGCTGTCCTGACAACCAAGCCAGAGTTGCCCACCTTGCGTACGCTCTGCACCTGGAGGCCCGGGTTAGACGGCCTTTATCAGTGCCGCTTTTGTGTCCTCTGATGATTTTATCGATTCATCCGCTAGGTAGCATATCACTGCTAGTCCCTCTGATTGTACAGCCATTTCGGGTTTCCCGCGTAGGAATTTTAGGCGCGCCGCGTATGAATCGTCCTGAGAAGAGACCTGCTGGGAGGTTGTCGTAGTCACCCTCAGTGTAGCAGTGAGCCGTCTCTTGGTGCTCCATCTCAGCCAGGCGGAGCTCAAGGGCAGATATAACCGCCAGCACATCTGGTATGGTAGCTTTGTCAACCATATTTAGCTTATTAATCGCATTAGTGACCGCCGCGATGCCTTTAATGTCGGTGTGGACAGCATCCCACAGTTGGACTTTGTCTGCCCAATGTATAGGGTTCTATGTACCGCCATAGTTGGTCATGTTGACGGCGCTCCGTTCCACGTACACTCGCACAGGGCATTCGCAAGAGGCAGTTGCATGGTCGTTAGCCGGCTTTCCAAAGCGGAGGCAGGTAGCGCATTGGGATGGCGCATCATCTGGATGGCGACGCGCATTAGGGATCACTGCAAAGTATATCAGTCCTGGAGTGCTCGGCCACATTCAAGCAGGCCTTGATGGAAAAAAGCCGGATATACATTGGCTGGCAGATGGCCGAAGTGTGCGACTACATCTCGCGCTGCAACAGATGTTAGATCTTTGGGTATCCAGAAAATTATTGTAAGTTACCGGATTTAATATGTGTGAAGTGTGGCGCGGCCAGGTCCTGGTACCTGCGTGAACGTTCTTTTGTCGCTTTATTATTCTAGCCCATAATAAACTCGGCTGTCGGCCTCATGCATATCGAACTTTGTAAGAAATTCGTTCTTTAGTTTACAAATTGAGATTGCTTGCACGTTGTTGACCATGACTAATAAGAAGGATTTATGGATTATCAATACGTTATCATATTCTTAGTTGCTCACAAACTTTTAAACTGTGAAAATGGCTAGTAAAAGAAAATCACTGTGTATTGACGAAAAATCTTATCCTTTAAACGAGCAATTCTTGTATATATATATATATATATATATATATATATATATATATATATATATATATAATCGGAAACGACTCCAGCGATTTTCCCGAAATTAAGTATGTGCGTAGTTTCGGGGGTGAAAAATCGATCTAAAAATGAAACCTATCATTTTTAGAAAATGTCCTTTTATCCCTGTTTTCAGGGAATGAAAAATATCATTCGAATATGACAGTAAATTTCGCCGCAAAAAAAATGTTATAATAGCTCGGTCGGTAATCGGGCGGCCGCAAAACAGACGGCCGCGGTTCGTATCACGCTCATTTACACACTTATATCTTTTACTTTTTTTTCTATACCAGATCATTTTCTTTATTTTTTTTAATTTCCAAAATACATGATTTACCAAAAATAACCGAGCAAACCCAGCTTTCCTCCAGGTACTTTTTACTAATACGCGCAATAGAAACGGGAGAGAAGATAAGTGATGTTGGCAGAAGCTTTGGATTTGGTCGCTCTATTCTAAACAATGCAGTATTATTCCAAATCCAAATAAAGACCGTATATACTTTGAGCATTTCATGTAGATCATAATGGCCCATAACAGCATATCATTAAAATGATTATCTTGGGCAGAGCGGTTAACGGGCCGTACGTCCATCCCAGTTGGCAGCGGTCTGCTCACGTTTTCGTGAAACATGTTTTTAAATGTCTCATGAAAAAGCAACTGTAAACATTGAATATAAAGACATCCATAATATAGAATAATCATAATAATAATATTAAAAGGTCTTTATATAAGAAATTGCCGTTCTTCAGAACTGGCCATTTCAAACAAAAGTTTTTGATTGGATGTGGATTCTAATTTCAAATTAATTTTCTTTTAAAACTTGAAATTCCTTTCACAAATTCACGCCCGGCTTCTGAAACACTGATCAACGTAGATGTGAACTAATCAGCTGTCAAATGAATTTCAAATTCTAAAATTTCATTTTAGTTGCCAAAAGAATGTTTAAACCCTTTGAATTGATCATTCTGATCATAAGTTTAGTTGTGGTATTAAATAAACCATTTTATTATTATTTTTTTTATTATTATAAAGAAGATCGTTCTGGTCAATTCAGAGAGTTTAACCATCCTTTTGGTACCTAACTTGTAATTTGAAATCCATTAACTGTTTCAGAAAACGGGCGTCAGTCTTTTGTTTAGAGACTACCTTTGTGTTTTTCATTACATTTGAACATTTTTAGTCATAATGGATACTATAAAAATTCATGTTTTTATGGAATATGAGTTCCGTCGTGGCATCAACGCGGCACAAACGACACGTAACATCAATCAGCGTTTACGGAGAGAACTTTACAAACGAAAGCACAACCTCTTATTGGTTTGCCCTGTTGCATTCTGGAAATTCTGAAATGAAAAATGAATTGAAGGCGATCGTGGAAGCTGATGATATTCAATCTAGACACGAACTAGAAGTAGCTTTTGATGTTAGTATCAAAACAATATTGGTCCATATGCGACAAATCGGCAAGGTAAAACAGCTTTAAAATTAAAATATGTAGAAAAAGTACGAAAAGATTGTCGCCGCTGTGGGAATCGAACCCACGTCTTCGGCATTCGCGGCCTGACGCTCTAGCCACTGAGCTAAACGGCCGATAGCCACAGTGACGAAAATCTTAACGCCTTCTTTCTACATTATTATTTAGCATTTGAAGCAATGCTTGGCGCATCTATTGTTGTATCCTTTCCAGCATACAAACAATTTCGAATATCGTTTTACAACGATAATTCGAACGGGAGATGTCGCCATTGCTTTTTATAAATTTTAAAGTTTTTTTTTATAGTGCTAATCTCTGCACTTAAGATTGAACAGACAATCGAACAGACAGCAAAACAGCTTGTTAGATGGGTGCCCCATTATCTATGATCGCCAGCGCAACGTACGCTGCTCCTTCGAGACCTGCCTCGCGCTGCTCAACGGTTACGGAAATGACGGAATTTTAAACCGAATTGTTACGTGCGGCGATAAATGGATTCTGTTCGACAATCGTAAGCACTCGGCAAGTTGGTAAGGTACTGGTTCAGTACCAAATGCCCTTAACGAAAAATGACCCTTCGATTATGGTCTCTATTTGACTATTTTGTGGTAAAGTGCCGGTGGGATTTATCACAGCTTTTTAAAAACAGCATGGGTATTATTGGAGATATGTACTGTGAAGATTTGAAGTCAATGATGTAGAAGCTCGCACATCTGCTACCAGCTTTGGTCAAATGGTCGTCTCCGCTGCTCCTTCACGACATACGTGACCCCATACTGCACAATAGACAGTCTCCAAGCTGAAGGAGTTGGGGTTGGAAGCTCTCCCTCATCCGTCATGACTCAGTCTGTCTCGTGACCATGAACGCCGTAAAGGTTTCGAAACGTTGGGAAATAAAATTCAAAAATAAGCTCGATAAATCCGTAAATATAGTTTGATTAAATAATGTGTAATCGCATAAATACAAGAAATTATCATATAAACCAATCCGGACTGGGAGATGCAAATAAAATTCGTGGCTTGGAAGATTTTAAGACTTTGATCTTTAACATCACAAACACATTTAAATTTCTTGAATAAATGCCGAGACAACAATCTCATTCCTACGTGTGTCAAGATCTCATCCAAGAAGGACATTCGGGGAAACGCGAAGATCTTAAACCAGGTCAGTATAAAATTGATACGTCGGGTAATTCGTCAAAACAGATCCGCCATCAATTCTAACATAGACGATTCATCCAGTGAGCTTAAAATAATTTTAAAGGCATTTGATTACAAAAACTGCATGAACACATTAAATCAGCGCGGAACAACAAAACATAAAGAATGCAAAAATAAACTTATCGAAAAATTACTAAAAATTACTCAACAAATCAAATGTTAAACAATCGTCGCAATGCATGTACGCAACCGTTGACCACAGACACAAATAAAAGTTTTCGCGCGGTCTACAATCTGTCACAACAAACACTAACGGTGCGTTCCACTAAGCGCCCACAACGATCAAAATGCTCCTTTCGTCCTTCCACATAACGACCGCGGTCGTTGTGGTCGCGGCCTTCATGTATTCTTCAGCCTTCTTTCCCTTCTTTCAGTATATATGTCTTATCTATGGTCGCGGCCAAAACGTCACTTATGACGTCATGACTTACGCTCACGCGAAGCTCACGGCGACCCATCTAAAAAGGTGGGTCGAAGTGATCGTTGAGAAAATTAGCGGCATTTTCAAAATTCAAAATGTCTAAGTTCAAAGTGTCACCGCAAAAGACATTTTAATTACATTTGAACGTAAATTAATTAAATACACCACTAATATTAAATATAAAAAATTTAATTACATTTTTTTTTTCAATATAAATCGGTTTAAACAATAATTAGTTAAGTTTATTTTCAAGGCTTACAGATTATAACCTAACCTCTTAAATCTTTTGCTTCCTTTTTTCTATTTCGCAGTTTGTATTATTTACCTCGACGCTCAAAACGCTCTATAATCCATTCCACTTGAGTTTACGGCAGTAACGCTCACAAGCAAGTGGAACGGGAATAACTGCGGTCGTGAGCGTGATCGTTGTGGGCGCTTAGTGGAACGCACCCTAAACGAGTCCACCATGAAAGTATTATAAAAAGGTTTAAATTTCGCAACGCCGCGAAAAATCCCTTAATAACAAATAATCTGTAGTGTTGAGGACTATATATAAACAGCATTGAAAAGGAGGAGTTTAGAGGGCATACGACAAAATATTTCGTCTATCAATGCAATCCTAGAGTAGCCATCGCGCGAACAGCACCGATACAGCCCACCTAACAGATTAGGGCTGCGCTTCCACCGGAAGGCGATCCTTTGAGTACATTGACTCCTGAAGAGGTCCAAGACATTATTAAAAAATTAAAATCGAAATCCGCCCCGAGCCCAGATAATTTTAATAAAAAAAATCTTAAAGCTCTCCCTCGGCCGCTTATCTGTTTACTGGCGACCGTTTTCAATATTTTACTCTCCAGTTGCTCCTTTCCGGACGACTGGAAAGAAGCCACGGTTATCAACAATTCGGCTTTCGAGCTAGACATTCCTGTCCCGATCAATTATTCCGCCTAACGGAACATATCCTAAAAGGCCTAAATCACCCTAAACACATTATTAGTACAGGGCCTCTTTTCTTCGATGTCGCAAAAGCATTCGACAAGGTCTGGCACAACGGCTTTCTTTACAAGCTGTACCCACTCAAAGTGCCAGATAGGCTCGTACACACCATCCGGGCCTTCCTGTCAAACCCCTCTTTTCGATATCGAGTTGAAGGCACCCTCTTTACAAGCCGCCGCCTCACGGCCGGACCTTGTGGTAACAAGGGTCCTGCCTCTCACCTTTGCTCTTTACGCTCTACACGAGCGATATAACTAAAGAACCCCACGTCAATCTCGCACTTTTCGTGGATGACACGGCGCTCTTTTATTCAGATCGCAACCTTAGTCAATTAATCACTCGACTCCAAAGCGCCGCCGACCGCCACGGCGATTGGTTCCGCAAATGGAGAATTGAAGTAAATCACGAAAAGAGTGTGGCGATTCACTTCACACGAAGCACTTACCCGATGTAACATCTTTATAATGGCGCAAATATCCCTTTAGGGCCCACCGCTCCCCTGGGAGAAAAAGGTCAAATACTTAGGAGTCACTTTCGACTCGCGTATGTCATTTACTACGCACATTAATAACGTTCGCAATAGAGCCGCGTTCGTCTCCGGCCGCCTACATAATTTAACTAACGCTAAAAGTAAAATGCCCTGAAGGCACAAATTATTATTATATAATACCTCTGTTCGAACTATTATGTCCTACGCATGCATGATCTTCGCCCACACGCACCCTATTCGCTTGTACAAGCTACAAATAGTACAAAATAGGTTCATCCGTCGCGCAACCGGTGCGCAGTGATATCAAGGCAACGTCGATCTGCACAGCGATTGCAGACTCCCGACGATTCGCAAATATTTTAAAGACCTGACCAAACGGTTCTTCGATAGAGCCGAACATCATCCCAACCCTCTGGTGGTAAGCGCAGCAAATTACCAACCCGACACAAACGGGAACGTCAACTAGCGTCGCCCGCGAAACGTCCTCATCGATCCGGTCGAGGTAGGGTACTTAGATACGTCGGACCCACCGCCGGAGGTCTCGCCGGATAACATTAACCCCACAGTTAGTGCAACAACAAATACACTAGTTCGCCCTCTCCTCCGAGCATGGCGAGACCAACACAACGCGTACACAAGGTACACCCGCGTTCCGGGGCGGTTCTCACCGCTCACAGCCACCAGGGTTTCGGTCCAAACCGCGACTTCGATGCGTCAGATGAAGCTGTAATAGTCTCGGGACTGAAAGCAAAACATTAGTTAATACAAAATACATTGCCGAAATCTAACCTTCTTAAAGGTGAATTTTATGCGTCATACAACTTCCGCAAAAACAAAGAATTAACTGTTCTCCTCGCAGATAAAGGAAATCCTAATAATCCGAAAAGGTGGTAATGAAAACGTCAGATTATAATTTAAAAATATAAAAACTTTTATCGGATGTAATTACGTAGGTCAAAACATATCTTACCACTAAAACGCTATGTCAACTAGTTATCTTACCACAAAATACTGTGAAATCTATCACACATTCATGTGCAAAACCCCCTAAGTTGTATGTGTTGTCTAAAGTACACAAGCCGAACGCTCGGTTACGCCCTATTGTAAGCCAGATCGACTCCCTAACTTACAGACTGGCTCAATTTAGTAAAAGTTCGTTCACCGCTAAGAGGACAAACTAAGGACTTTTAAAATTTTGTTAGTGAGATAAAACAATTATGTCGTGCTGGTTTAAGGATTTTATCGCTAAATTGTTGTGAACTATTCGTCTCGATCCAATCTATTCATCAATAAAACCATAGATAATTTGACCAGTAATTTTAAAATAATTCTAACGACATTTGATTTCAATAATTGCATGAACACTTTAAATAGGCGTGAAACATCAAAATATAATAAATACAAAAATAAACAGTTACAAAAATTTGAAAAACTATCCTCCAAATCAAATATCAAACGACCGAACGGTACACATCATATTATAATTTAATTTTATTAGAATTAGATTATTCAAATGTTATATTAATATTAAATTATTCATTCGAAATAGGTCTTACGTATGAAATTATGATGACGTTACTTCCGTCAGAAACAAAAATCTGAGTTATTCCCTATTATTCGTTAAGCAACCCGGATAGCACCAGAAGGCAGCACAGCTGTTAGTCTCTAGTAAAATTAAGTAACAAAAAAGTAGAGGAAAAGAAAAGTAAATGTGAGAATGGGAAAAGACAAAAGAACCTTCAAGAAGAGAGCGTACTCTTTCCTAAAAGGCCGGCAACGCATTTGTAAGCCCTCGGGTGTTGCAGATGTCCATGGGCGGCGGTGATCACTTACCATCAGGTGAGCCTACTGCTCGTTTTTTCCCATTAAAAAAAAAGAAATCACATTGTATTCATCGAAATGTGGATAAATAGAGAAAATTAGAATTCCAGCCTTTTACTTCTACGCCAAAGCCGGACGCGTAGCTTCCTCGTAGCGATACATTTATTTATGACGCCTGCCGCTTCTGAAAAAGCTCATGCAATTCGCTCACCTCATGTCAATGGTCGATTCACGGATTGCTGCAACGCGTGGCATAAAGCTAATGTATCATTCGCCATCTGCTGGTAGTTTCGAATATGGCCAGGCTGTGAAAGCTGCTGGTGCGTAAAACTACTCTACGTTAACATGAGCATCACCTTCATCGTCATCCTCCTATTATTCCGTAATCAGGGAAAAATAACTTTAAAAAAAAATTACAAAAAGTTTTATTAATTTCGCTTGCAGTGTGATTAGCTGTCACAAGTTATCGTTATATTTTTAGTGTTTTTAAGTAATTAATATGAATATTCAAAATCATCAGGCATAATATCTTATATGTAAGAAATATTTTGGACTCTTAAAACAAGAAGCATTTACAGACGTTATTAGACACAAAATTATGTAAGAAATAACAAAAATAGCTATCAATATCAAATTGTAAGCTACATTGCATGAATAAAGGCGATTTGTGTATCCGTTTTTTTGAGTACGAGAATAGTGAAATTTACTTTTATTAATTAAAAACTCTGAGTAACGTAGATTATGTACATTTTGAATAAACTTATATTATTATTATTATAAAAAAAGAAAAAGAAATGCGTGAGTGTTGCGGTATATTCCAATGGAATGAAGTTTTTTTTGTAGTACTTATATTACTATTGATAAACGTATTATATTTCCAGTAACTAAAACTTTTATCCCCTGTGCCAGTACCTTTGTTTGTGAATAAAACATGAAATGCAATATTAGTTAACGCTTTAATTTAATAACTTGTATTATATGTAAATGTCAAAAAGTTGTTATTGGTTGCCATGGTATTTTCGTGACGATTCGATCGTTACGGAAAAGTTCTTACAACTTTTTTTCAACTAAACAGAGCGCAATTCTGCTAGTACCTCCTATAAAGGTCTACCCTGTTAACATTGCGAGTTCTTCCCAATATGCGCACCGTTCTCCATCTTGGAACGTAACCCGGGCGAGGGTTCGGTGGTGAAATTCCCCGAACAGCCCCAATGGATGGTCACACGTGACCATCAAGTCAAACTGCTTTTCTTCGGTTGGGGCTATACGAAAGCAGTGGGCGAACCCGGTGGCTGGGCTTGCACCCCGGCCACCTCGGGCTAAACAACAAGCAATGGTCAAGAATAGGAAAAATTTTTGCCACCCTGACCTCCCACAGGAGTCAGGGAGCTTGGCCCATTCCCCGACCGCTCGGGCTGGGGCCCCGCCCCCTTCCTTAGCGGTCATGCCGTGTTGGACCTGCCCGTCATGCGGGCGGACCTTCGGCACTAAGACCGGGTTGGGCGTCCACAAAAGGCGGGCCCACCCGGAGGACGTGAACCTGGAGGCGGCTCCTAAATTGGTGAAGCGCAGGTGGCGGGAGGAGGAACTCGCCCTCATGGCCCGTCAGGAAGCCAGGTTCCTGGAGGAGAAGGGCTGCTGTTCGAATGCAGACCTGCTCGTGGCCTGTGCAGGGTTCGAGCGAACCCTGGAGGCCATCAAAGGCAAGAGGCGCGACTAGAAATACAAGTGCCTGGTACAAGCGTGCCGGGCCGAACTCGAAAACGAGAATAACGCGTTGGTCGCGCCGCTGAGCGGGGATTCAGCACAGCCCCAACCGGAAAGGACCGGGGGGACTGATGAGCCTGAGGTGCGGGAATGCCCTTTGCAGCCGTGCGCGGATGATCCAAACGGGCGCTCTAGCAGTGTCCCAGCAGTCGAGCGTGGGGCGCGAGTCGTCGAGTAACTCCTTGAGAGGGTCTCGATGAGGAGGGCTAAGCAGGACCTGGGTGCCAAGAGCGCGAGCCGCCTCCACATGAAACCGGACTTGACTCGGGCCGACGCCGCATCAAGTGGTATGTCGAGCCGCAAGCGGAGACGGATAGAGTACGCGAGGGTACAGGAACTGTACCGGAAGTCCCGAAGTCGAGCAGCAGCCGAGGTGATAGATGACGTGCACCGCAGGACGAAGCACAGTCTGGAGGAGATGGAGGCCTACTGGCACCCAATCGTCCAGAAGGTGTCTGAAGCCGACGGGCCCACACCGGATGCTCTCAATACCCTAAGGCAAGGAGAGCGGCATGGGGGTGAGCCCCACTATTGCCGGCTGTGGGTGCCCTTCACCGTTGAGTAGACCCGTTTCGACTGGAAGACGGCGCCAGGTCCTGATGGTATCCGACCGGATGAGTGGAGCCGTGTTCCTGCGGCGCTGATAGCGGAAATATTCAACTCTTGGATGACCAAGGGCGTCCCCGAACCACTTCGGCAGTGCCGGACTGTCTTCGTGCCGAAAACGGACGATCCTGCTGGGCCTGGCGAATATCGGCCGATCTCTATCGCGTCGATTCCACTAAGGCACATGCACTCGGTCTTGGCCAAAAGACTTCTGGAGTGCTGCCCCCCCGATGCACGACAGCGCGGTTTCATCTGCGCCGACGGCACGTTGGAGAATTCCGCCGTGCTGGACGCGGTGCTAGGAGATTGTAGGAGCAAGTTGAGAGAGTGTCACGTGGCGGTGCTCGACTGTCGGGCTGCTTAGGGAAAGAGGGCTGCCCGAGGCATTCTGTGACCATGTTCGCCGTATTTACGTTAATGCGACCACCTCTTTAGTGGTCGGTGGGAGGTACGGCACTCCTACCAAAGTGGGACGTGGGGTGCGTCAAGGGGACCCGTTATCGCCCTGGATGTGATCCTGGCGTCTCTGCCGACGGACGTCGGCTATAGGCTAGTAATGGAGAGAATCTCGGCCCTGGCCTATGCCGACGACCTAGTCCTGCTTGCAGGCTCAAAGGTGGGGAGGCAGGAGTCCATTGCCCGTGTGTACGAGGTGGGCGCATCGATAGGTCTCATGGTCAATCACAAAAAGAGCTCCCTCTTGTCGATGGTGCCCAACGGGAAGAGCAAGTCGCACCACTATCTGACCGGGAAAACGTTCCGGGTAGGTCGGATGTGGTTGTCTCAGATCACTTGCGCTGAACGATGGCGCTATCTCGGCATCGACTTCCAGGTGACTGGATGCGCGACGTTAGAGCATGGAATCAAACTTGCCTTGAACAACATCTCAAAGGCACCCCTTAAGCCGCAGCAGCGGCTGGAAATTCTAAGGGGATACCTTATTCCGAGGTTCCTGCAAGGCCTTGTGTTGGGCAGGATATCGGAGGATAGGTTGTGCATGCTTGACGTCCAGATCCGGGGTGCGGTAAGGAAGTGGCTCTGGCTCCCGAAGGACGTGCCTGTTGGGTACTTCCATGCGAAAGCTAAGGACGGCGGCTTGGCGGTCCCTTCCCTGTGGTCAGTCGTCCCGGACCTCATTTTAAAGAGGTTCGGGCGGCTGGAGTCGTCGGGTTGGTCAGTGGCTAAAGCCGCCGCCAGATCCGAAAGGGTCCGTTAAAAGTTGAGCTGGGCCAACAGGATGTCTGGAAAGGTCACTAGCGCAGACCCGGTCACGGGCCATAGGTCCGTTGGGCGGTATTGACGCGAGAGACTCTGAGGCTCAGTGGACGGATTCGAACTACGCGAGTCCGCTCGCACTCCTGCGTCCCCCAAGTGGTTGCGGGAGGAGTCTTCCGGGGTCTCCGGTCGGGACTTCGTGCAGTTCCTCCAAACTCATATTAATGCCCTACCCTCACGGGTTCGAACATCCAGAGGGCGCAGGATTTCGTGAGTCGTTGTTGAACTGCCGTGCAGGTTGCATGGTGAGGGAAACGACGGCTCACACCATCCTTGCTGTTGGAGGACGCACGGAGGCCGGATCGAGCGCCATGACCGTGTTGTGAGGACGGTAGCATCAGCGATATTATCAGGCCAATGGTGGGTTGTGATGGAGCCAAGGATCATTACCTCGAAAGGCCTTATAATCGAAAGAAAGCCCGATAAACAGGTTGCATGGATACTGGGACTACCTGACCGTAAATCTGTCCATACGACCTCTTGCACGTTCTCCTGGAGGGGGGTTTGGAGCGGCTCCTCGGGCTCAAAGAGAGTCTCTTCCGAGTTATCCCCATCTTGGTACTGAGTGTCCAGCCTGGACGGAGCAGCGCCAAGAGCTGTGCGCTATTGTGGGTCCCGACCTCTCGTTACCAGCCGTGGTTCGCGCTATGGTTGACAGCGCGAGGGCGTGGGGTGCTGTGGACATTATTACCCGGAAGGAGGCATCGGAGAGAGAAAGGGAGGCAACTGCCACCCTGGATATCCGCCGCCGGAGACCAGGGCGCAGGAGGCTGGCCTACACGCACAACCTTCCCCCCTGATAGCGAGACCGTGAGTGGCAGGCATGGAGGGTGTCTGTCGCTCAATATGGGGCTCGTGACGTGTGCGTACCAATTGCCATGGCACAGCAGTAGAGAGAAGGCCTAAATAGGCCTTAGTCGCTCCGGTGTCGCGGAACATTGCGTCCACGTGTTTCCGTGTCCCCAGCCGATGTGACAGAGACAGGTGCGACGTGGGTTTTTTAGTGGGACTCCCACATTCCTCTACCAATCCCCCGATCAAGTGGCAGAGGATCCATAAAAGATTTTTCCCACGAAGAAAAAAGGTTCAACCTCATGACCGCGATCGGGTCTTGGGCGCCGGTATGAGTGGCCGGGGTCCTGTGGACAGGACTGCTGCGGAGCCCTAGGCGGGTGTGTTAATTCCCCAACCCAACATCCAGCACACGCCTCTAATACCAATCGGCACAATGCTGATTCGCCCAAACGAGATAGGAGACGGGGACTGGGTCTCTCGGGCGTGCATGAAGACATAATGATCGGCAAAAATAGCCAAATGCCTCGTCATCTAATTACGAGCATGAAGGGATTAACGACATTCCAGTGACAGTGTCCCTATCTACTTCGCGCTCGACCGTCGAAGCGTTCGGACGTGCCCGGAGTGCTCCGCGTTTTAGTTTTCTTGTGCAGAGCCTAAGTTAGGTTACCTAGTGTTTCCTTATCTTAGGGCTGCACGGTGCTACTCGAAATAGCTAATTTTGTTTTGTATTTATAGTGTTTTTCGCTGTAAATTGGTGCAGTTAATCTGAGAGTGACAGTGGGTATAATCCCGTTAATTTGTGTTATTTGTGGCTTTGGACGATCCAGATCGATGAAGTACACTTTTTATTATTCATTATATAATTAAGGACAATAATAAAATTGTTGCATTATTGCTAATATTAAATTTTAAGTAGATAACCTCTTTGAGGTTATACTGTGCACATGCTCGGCAGGTGGTTGTCAAACTCGAATTTTCAGCGGTCATTGTTGGGCTATGTAACTAACATCTGTCAGTTTCGGTCGGTCACGTGACAGCTGTCATCTTCGATTGACAGCTGTCAGCGTCGATCCGGCACGAGTGACATCTGTCAAATTCAATTGACAGTTGTCTGTGGTAGCTAGGGTTTGGCCAGCCAGGGGCCAGCGGTTGGGTTCGGATCTCCCATATTTTTCTGAGGGGGTTCGACTTAGACGCTGCGCGTACCTATACTCGAACACACTCGCCGGGACTTGGGCGTTTTCGGGATTGTTGCGCGAACACTCGCCTGCAACTCGAAGGGCCGGGTCGTTGGTTGGTGGCAGTATGGCGGATGAGGACGAAAGCGGCCGGCATAAGCAGCTCATCAGGGAGGAGTTCGCGCGACGTTCGGAAGAGCTGGCCAGGAAGCAGGAGGAGCTGGAAGGTCTGATGGAGCTTGGTGCTGAGACGGGCTTTACGCCTAGGGCGTCACTGGCACGCAACCCACCCGAGGCTTCGTTGCGCACCCTGCCGCCCCTCAGCGCCGGCCCCTCGTCTGCCCCGTCGTCCAAGCGGCCTCTTACGTCACCGGAAGATGTCCAGGATGCTGTCCACCGGCGGGTGCAGCTGTCGAGAACGGCAGGTGTCCCACCTATTGGTGGGATCCTCAACTCCCCGACGGTGGCCCCAAAGGCGGCAGCACCGCAGCCCACCGCAGTCCCAGCAGCGACAGTGGACCTCTCCGGACCACAACCAGTGTGGAGACCGGCAGAAGGCCAAACCGGACTTGCGGCTATGGACAAGGTTCAACTACTGGATGCGGTCCACACCGCCATTAAAGGTATTGCGGCGGTCGCTAACGTGACCAACAAATTGAACATGGCGCACAAGGCGGCCATATCTGGCCATAGTCAGGACGTGCTGGCGGTGGTCTCAGCTCTTGAGCTTCGCCTGGCCGAGACGGAGCACCAGGTTACGGCTCTGAAGCTGAAGTGCACTAGTATGGAGCTAGAGGCTGCTTCACCGAGGGTGACTGTGACTGCTTCTCAGCAAGCGCTCCCTGTCGCGGACTCGTACGCGTCGCGGCTGAAGTTACCGCGCGGTAAACCAGAAATGGCCGTTCAACCGAAGGGCCCTGCGGTAATCTTTTACCCATCGGACGAGTCTATTAAGTCGTCGGAAGTCACTAAAGCGGCATTAATAAAGGCGGTCCAACCCGGCCCTCAGGGCATCCAGGTACAGAGCGTCCGAAAGGTGGGTAACTCCGGTGTAATAGTCAGAACGGCATCTGCTTCTGCAGCGGCAAAATTAAAAGAGGCAGCCCCACCTACTTTGAAGGCTACTGACCCGAAGGTACGCAAGCCCCTGGTCGCCATTAGGAACCTGAGGTGTGACCCAAAGTCGGAAGACCTATTAGAGGACTTACACCGAATCAACCTTGCGGACGATCCCGCGTGGCCGAAAGATCGGCTATCCAAGGAATGCCAAGTGGCATTCAAAAAAGGCCGCCTCGACGGACCGAGGACCACGGTAGTCCTGGAATGCACGTCTGCACTCCGGGACAAGCTTGTGGGCCTTGGTAGGGTCTACATCGGCTGGGACGAGGCAGAGGTCTGCGACTTTGTTCGGGTCACCTGCTGCATGAAGTGCCAGCAGTACGGACACCCGGAGAAGCATTGCCGCGCGTCCGCGATCACTTGCGCAAAGTGCGGAGAAACCGGGCACGGTAAGGCGGACTGTAAATCCGAGGTGTCGTGCTGCACAACATGCAAGCGCTTCCGCAGGAAGGACTCCACCGGTCACACGACCGCCGCCATGGACTGCCCAGCGCGCCTTTTCGCGGAACAGCAGGCCATCAACATGACCCACTATGGCTGAACACGCCAAGGTTGGTCAACTGAACCTACAGGGTTCCGCAGTTGCGCCCACTGAGCTGCCAGTAGTTGCTGGAGTGCTGGGGTTAGACTTCGTGCTGGTCCAGGAGCAACATTGCTACACCAGGATCATCCAGCACGGTCCCAACTCCAAGGCTGGCTCACTCTACCATTCCACCGATCATTCTACCGATCACTGTACAGTAGCGCATGTCTGTAATCGGATAACCAATATGTACACCGTATCGCTATGTTGTCAGTACAGTCATGACATCTCTCGTCACCTGCAGCATCTCTCGTTTGTGTTGGATCGATTGTCTGATCTCCAGTGCTGATTGGTACAGATAGCAACGCCAATACGTGGGGCGTGGTCACGACATTGAGTACCGCAGAAACCAGATGGAGAGATTTATCCTAGGCCGGAATCTAATGGTACACAACGTAGAAGGTCAGCCCCCCACGTTTTGCAGTCCCAATGGGTCGTCCAATGTGGACATACCCTATCAAACAAAGGAATCAATGTCACAGAGAGGATAGTTCACGAAGGCATTAGCCTGAGTGATCACCGGTTAATCACATTCAGAATTTACTGTGGTAGTTGGCGAAATGATGGATCTGATACAGCAGTAAAGACTGCATATTTCAAGGAACGTGGAGTAAACTGGAATGGCTTTCGCTCATTGATGCACGCCCGTATGGACCGTCTCAATCTGTAGCGAACTGCCAATAGAATAGAGCAGTACAGGGAAATACTTGTGAAAACAGTGGAAGTTTTGCTTGACACCTGCGTTAAGAAAGACGAAGGAGGCTATGAATGGTGGACCCCGGAACTGGAAATATTGCGAGCTGGCGTCTATCGCGCACGCCGCAATTGGCAAGCCTCCAGAAGGGATGGTGGTGACACCGAGAAGATTCTCCGCGAACGACTTCGCATCTGTCGGAATAGGTATAAGAGGGCCATCAAGGATACCGAACTGGTCCACTTTAGGGGGATCGCTGACTCTAGCAACGTTGACCCGTGGGGTCTCGCGTACCGCACTGCCAGCGGTCGCCTCAGACCGCCGACAAATGTTATGAACCGAATGAAGCTCTTGGACGGTTACACGGAAACCACTAGGGACACCATGACAGGCCTGGTCCGAGCACTGTGCCCAGATGATGATGTTACGACGGACTCGACATACCACCGGCAAGTCATAATTGCAGCTGTATGCTCCCCCTCTATAGAGGAAGACGCTGTACCGCCGAACAAATCCATGTTTTGTTTTCTTCTTTCATCTTGTTTACATCACGGCATATCTAACGCCCAACACGGGTTCACCCGACGGCGATTGACTTTTACGGCATTAAATGCAATTATTGAGATTAGCAGCGGCTCAGGCGAGAAAAACGTGCAGTTGATCTTTCTGGATATCTCTGGGGCCTTCGACAATGCATGGTGGCCTATGATCCTCCTCAAGGCTAAGCAGACAGGTATTCCCGGGAATATCTATTGTATTCTTGTCAGCTATTTCACGAACCGTAAGGTAGGACTATTTGTGGGAGACCGTGCAACGTGGAAAGTTTCGACCAATGGCTGTCCGCAGGGATCTGTTCTTGGCCCGACACTCTGGAACCTCCTCCTCGATGACCTCTTCAAAGTGTCGAAGCCCGTGGGGGATAGCATGATTGCCTACGCCGAAGATGTGACCATTGTGATCGAATCCTCGTCGCGCGCGGATATCGAGCGGAAGGCGGCGACCGTCTTGACCGTCGTTTCGGAATGGGGGATTCGCAAAATGATGATGCGCGATCCTACATGCAGCATGCGTCACACATTGGCGAGAGAGCGAGCGCGGGCCTTGGGAAGATGTCTCGTTTGTCAGCATCGACCTGGGCCGTCAGGTACAATGCACTGAGAACCCTCTTTTGTGGGGTCTATGTGGCAACAGTTACCTACGGTACAATGTACTCGGTCAGGAGTACGCTCCTACGTACGCAGAGACCGGCCCTCATTTTGCTGACGAAAGCCTACAGGACGGCGAGTACAGCCGCGTTGCCGGTTTTGGCTGGCGTACTGCCCGATGATCTGGAGGTTTATCGTGCAGGACGAATCGGGAAGGAGAGTGTAGGTCTGGCCAGCAAGGAACGCAAGATGAAGAGTCGGGAGTTGTCAGCGATTGTCGTCGCCCAATGGCAGGAGAGATGGCAGTCGAGTCAAGATAGCAGTGACCTGCGGAAATTCTTTCCCGACGTAGCTGAGAGACTAACCTTTTCCTGGATAGAACCAGACTATGCAGTATCGCAGATTCTCATAGGCCATGGAAGTTTTAGAGAACGTCTGTAACGTCGGGCTTAGCGACACGATGTCCTGTCCGTGCGGAGAAAAGATGGAAACTAGAGACCATGTGCTCTGGGACTGAACTGTATACCCAGGAGAGGAACGAGATATTGGAGAGCCTTAAGCGAAAAGCCATTGGACCAGTCTATCACCGTAATCTAGTTTGCTGCCCGGATAACTTCAGTCTGCTGCGCAAATTTGCGCACTCTTGGCACCACAAACGGAAGCATCTGGAGTAGACAGTATTCCGAAGGGAACAGCGAGCGCGAAGTACTGTTTTGTGCTGTGTCACGCCCCAGAAGGGGGAGAGGTGTTTTTGTAGATCAGTGACGGAAGATGAATTTGTAGGGAGTCAAGATAATGCGCACGGGAAAGAGCCTCGAGCAAGTACCGTGTGCATATCCCGCGATTTCGGTCCGTTATGCCGCAAGGCGGGTAGGACCATGGGTTGGAGGTAGGACATGTCCCTATCTACTCACGGTCCTGCCATAGCAGGAAAGACTGCATAGTTCAATAGTTCTCATCACTTCTCATCGTTTGTTTGTATCGCGGCATAACTGACGTCCAACATGTCTTACTGTTTGTTATCACTAGCTCTCTCAACTAAATAGGCCTCTGCTGCAGCGAGCTCACGGGAGTCAATTGCTTGTACAGCAGAGACCAAGAAAGAAGCCGCACTTTTGCTCCAGCGTGCCTTAGCTAGTTATCCTGTCAATACGCGACCTGGGTGGAACATCATGGGGCTTTTGGTCCCACATAAGCCGTCCGTTACCTGCAGTGTTGTGTATGCGTGGGAATTTCCCACTCTAAATAAAGTGGCTCCTCGAGCTGAATGAGCACGTACCAGGCTATTCCCCTCATAGTGCTGAGGGACATATGAATTGCTCAAAACCTCGTCATCTAATCAGTGGCGCGCAGTGGAACGGAATTCCCACTTTACTTACCTTCACGCTCGCCGGACCACTTTCGTGGATGGGCTCGTATACAATACGTAAGAACCGCTTGCTTAGTTAGTTTTTTAAGTACAATCAAATTGCTATACGCAAGCTTATTTAACTCCGTGTGAAATAAGATTGTACCAGAGTCGATGCCAGTTTTTAACACGCTTGTATTAGATTCACCTGTATGTATGTATGTATGTATGTATGTAACAGAACCTTTAAACGTGATTTATTTTTGGTTTGTTTTTTTTTTGTGGTAAATCGTGTATTTTGGAAATGACATTTAGATACAAATTACTGAGTAATGAAATATGCATAATAATTATCTTCGATCTTCGATCTTACCGACGTAATAAGAAGAAAATATGAACGGGTGTTTTTCACAAAAGAAAGAACAAAAAAAGGGGGAAAAAAAAACAAAATATATAAAAAATAAAGATGGCAATGATCTGGAATCGAAAAAAAAGTAAAAAAAACGTGTAAATGATCGTGACACGAAACCACGGCCTTCTGTTTCGGGGCCGCCCGATTACCGATCAAGCTATTATTATAACATTTTTTTTTTCGGTGAAATTTACATTCGTATTCGAATGATATTTTTCATTCCCTGAAAATAGGGATAAAAGGACTTTTTCTAAAAATAAAACCTAGCTAGATCGAGTTTTCGCCCCCGAATCTACGCACGTACAAAATTTCATGAAAATCGCTGGAGCCGTTTCCGAGATTCCGATTAAATACAAGAATTGCTCATTTAAAGGATAAGATACACGAAAGTTTGCAATTTAAAATAATCAATGACATTAAGAATTTAGTGGACACATGATTTTTAGTAAGATGGCTAGATTATTTACTTACATAATTGCGTGTGATCGTGCTATGTTTAGTTTTCATTATATAACCTATATTACTCAGAGATGAAAAGGCTTAGCATTAGTGGAACAAAACGCTAAAAACATGTTAATTAATGAAAATCTTACAGATGGAAACCTTAAAATTACACTACGTTGACCGTACCATTGTTTCATAAACATTTAGAATATTTCGTGTCTGAACAAAGTATGTAAAAGCTGTTATACATGTTGTAAATGCTAGAAATCATTTAGAAATGTCGGATACGACATATAAGTTCTAATTTTAAACAGATTCGATACAGTTACGATTTGATATAAAGTTACTATAACTTTTTGGACATTTTTAAAATCAAGCAATATCAGACCAACATTTATTACGAACATTCATCTCCTAACCATCAGCTACCGTAATATTCACAACTTCTTCTTTTCTTCCTCCAGCATCTGTACCTGAAAAAAGCATATAGTTTATGTTAAAACAAAGTTATATATTATAGAAGTTGTGTAGACTAGTGGGTTTTAAAAGTTTTACGAATTTTGTGAAGTTTTTAACATAAGATGTTTAAATTAATATTTTATTAAAATTTATAGAAAAACGTAGGAAAATTTTTCGCCTCAGTGGGATTCGAACCCACCAGTCTTCGGGATTCGCGCCCTGGCGCTTTAGCTACTGAGCTAAACGACTCATTGCCACACCGACGAAAATCTTAACGTCTTTCATCTACATCGTTTTTCAGCATTTGAAGCAATGCTTGGCGCATCCAACTCGCGATTGTATGATAAAAATATTTCTTTTCTAATGATGCCGTACCGGGTAGCAAAAGCTTATGGCTTGTTGGGTATTGTTAGCTGTTGCTCGCAGCTTTGGTTGCGTGTTGGGAGCAAATTCTAAAATCACGCCTCAGATGCGACTCAAACAAACCCTGGAGGACAGAAAAAATATATCTCATAAAATCTAGTTATATGTCATTCATCGTTAAATAAAACAGGTTAAGTGCGAGTCGGACTTGCGCACGCAGGGTTCCGTACCATTATCTATGAAAACGGCAAAAAAATCACATAGCGGCAACAGAAAAACATCATCTGTGAAAATTTCAACTGCCTAACTATCCCGGTTCATGTGATACAGCCTGGTGACAAACGGACAGACAGACAGCGGAGTCTTAGTAATAGGGTCCCGTTTTACCCTTTGGGTACAGAACCCTAAAAACGTGTTATATAATGAATGAGGTGAGCTGAGACTACATTCACTGTGCGAAGTTCACGCGGTTAAAGCGGTAATACTTTATGAAGTAATTATGAACACAAATAATTTAATAATTAGGTTAAAAAACTAAAATCAGACTACTGAAAATCACGCTCGAAAAAGTATAAGAAAAAAGTTAGGTTAGGTTAGGTTATTAGTAGGGGTAAATTTTTATACGATATATCTGAACATTTTAAGATCTAATAATACAATTTATTAAAATATAATAAAACATAATTTATTCTAAAATATCTGCACTTAGATGCATATTAATTATGATTCCGTAACAATTTAAAATAACCTTTATCGTATGCACCAACGCCTGTATTATTCTATCGCTATTTTAAGTGTATATGTCGCTCTCTTTTTCTCCACTCTTCCGTCTCTCTCGTATAACGGAATGTGCCTACACATGAAGTTTTATTGAAACACTCCCAATTCACGTCTATTGTCGAATCACCGTCACAACCCCCCCTTTCTACAGTATGCTATTGGATGTTGCCAGTCATAGGTGCGCGCTTATTGGCCGAAGTCGCTCCCAATTCACGTCTATTGTCGAATCACCGTCACAACCCCCGCTTTCTACAGTATGCTATTGGATGTTGCCAGTCATAGGTGCGCGCTTATTGGCCGAAGGCAGCGCCTTAGCCGGCTGTGAAAATATTATTTGTTTTGTATATATAATTACATATCGCGTATGCCGTTATAAGCGTCATTATTTTGAAATATAATATTAATTACGTTTCCTATCTATTCCTGAATTCATTTGTTATTTCAGAGTTTCATTTAATTTCTCTCAGGCGCTAGTAATTTATTTATTTGTATTTGTTAATGATTGATATAATACATTTACCAATTATCGTAGTCAGTTATATTAACGAAAGGAACTTCGTTCTAATCGCATGTTCCACGACACTCATAGTTTTAGGGTTGTTATATTTCCATTTAAAGTACCACTAACATCTTGTGTATGAACTGTTTGGCTTCCCCCGGCTTCCCACAGATAGGTACTTAAACTAAGGTACGGTATTATTATATCGTACCTTAGTTTACGTTTTAGTTTACATTTATTAATGTACTTTGTAAGGTATTGTATGCTGTAAAGGATGCATGGATGGCGCTAAGCATTACTAAAAATGTTATAGTAAAACGTAGAAAAATGTCGATACTTTCGCGCGAGTTTTAAGGTCATCGGCCGGTTAGCCTAGTTGTCAGCGCTTCTACGTGAACTGTAAGACCCAGATTCAAATCCGCCAGCGCCGAAAGTTTTTGGTTATTTTCAAAAATTTACAGTGTAAGTGTACAGTCTCCAGATCAAGTTCTGGTAACAAATTATTAATTGTCTGTCCGTCTCTGTCTGTCCCATGACCATGAACGCTGTAAAGGGTTCGAAACGTCGGGAATTAAAATTAAAAATTAACGCGTAAAATCCGTAAAATTAGTTTCATTTACTATTTAAATTATTTGTAAGCCTAGTAGTTCTCACTAAGTTTCGCCTTTAATTCAATCACCACTTTCCACTTTTAATTGGCAAGGGGATTTCAACGTGTCCCTGCTTGAACTATTAGTAATAAATTTGGTTACCAGTGGAAAATACAGGGGGGAGTACTCACGTTGGTAAATATCCGTGAACGTATTCGTCGCTAGCATCGATACTCGGCTGATGATCGTTGTCATAAACGTACTCGGTGAGGGCAACACTGGAAATATCAACAAGCTATTGGACAGGTGACAACGTAAGTTTGGAACGTGGTAGGCCCACGCAACAGTCCGCTGTGGTAAGTACCACGTCCACAGAGAAGACCGGCGCAGAAGTGTAACAATTCACACTTCTGCGTTTCGTCTTGCGAGTGAGGTAGCCGGAACACTAAGTGTCTAAGTGTATATATGTACAAGGGAACATACTAGTACACATTGTGTACTAGTATGTTCCCCTTGTATATATACCATTTTAATACGAGCATAATTAATAGTACCCGGAGGTTTGTTTTTTTTTTTGGTAAATCGTGTATTTTGGAAATTACATTTAGATACAAATAACTGAGTAATGAAATATGCATAATATTTTTCGATCTTACCGACGTAATAATAAGAAAATACGAACTGATGTTTTTCACAAAAGAAAGAACTTAAAAAAAAAGGGAAAAAAAATTATAAAATAACAAATCGACAAAAAATTAAAAATGAAGAAAGCAATGATCTGGAATAGAAAAAAAAGTAAAAAAATTAATGTGTAAATGATCGTGAGGCGAACCACAGCCGTCTGTTATGGGGCCGCCCGTTTACCGACCGAGCTATTATGACATTTTCTCTTGTAGCGAAATTTACCGTCATATTCGAATTATATTTTTCATTATCTGAAAACAGGGATAAAAGGACTTTTTCTAAAAATGAAACCTAGCTAGATCGATTTTTCGCCCCCGAATCTATGCACATACTAAATTTCATGAAAATCGCTGGAGCCGTTTCCGAGATTCCGATTATATATATATACAAGAATTGCTCGTTTAAAGGATAAGAGATAAAAGTTCACTTCGTATCGATTTACAATGCGACAATTGTATGATAAATTATTTTTGAAGTAATATTTCTAGTAATACATGAGGAATAGTAATCTAATATATTAGCTTGTATTAGCGCCGTGAATTGAAACAACACAATCCATCGATAGTACTTAGATAGGTACAGTTTCATGTAATAAAACAACAAAAGAGATACCTGTGGTAGTGTGAGTAAACTTTGCGTCCGTGATTTTTCAGATTTGTGACACATCCCGCTACGTACGTTTTACTTCGAATACGGCGATCGCTAAGATCTAAAATA